AGGGGTGGCGATCGTCGGCAGAGGTGCTTCGCGGCGGCGTCCTGTGCTTGTGGAGGCCGTGGATACGCTCCACACTGCGACCGTGGCTCAGAATATGTCTCCGGCTGTGACCATGGTGCCCGTCATGGCGTATCTTGTGATGAACACGGGTCCGGCGGATGCAGCTGCTGTGAGAGGTGCGGTGGCGTGACTGATGGTGACCGTGCGAAGAGAATTCACGTGCACTACTACTCCTGTGAGAACTGTTTACTTTGTGATTTGTGTTTATGTTCCCTAAATGACTGGTGTTAACTAGGAGTATGTTGATTCCGAGAAGATTGATGCTCGTTGGAGTGGTGATCGCTAGAGAAATGGTGATCATTATGGTGGTGGTGTTCTCTAGAGGAATGATGTTCAGTAGGGTGGTGGTGATTCTTGGATAAATAAAGATCGCTAGATACATTATCATTTGTTCTCTTCAGTTTCATGTTTAATTCTTGATCCATCTGAAGATTGTTCGGAACAAGTCAGTAATTTATTTGATCATTCCAAAATGGATGTCCCTAAGATGCCAATCTTTTCAGACACATTATAGATTCTCGAACGGCAGGAAGAAGTGAGTTTTATAAAATTGAGTTCACTTTCACACAACCGCCGTTTCTCGAAAGTATTGGTTCCTCTGTTTTGAGAAAGTAATGAGTGAGCGGAAGTAACCTGGGAAGGTGAGCGATCCTTAGGACCTTTGTGCTACAAAGATCTGGAACTTTTACTTGAAAATCTGAGCTGCGAGTAATTTATACATTTCATTTTCCTTGGTTTTCAATGACTTACATAAAATCGTCACTGAACCAATGACTGATATTGTATCAAAATTACAATTCTATTTTTAGCTACAAAATGTTACCAAAAATTAAGGCTGGTATGATTTCAATAATGATTTAAATCAAATGATTATTTTAAAAAATCAATGATTATTATTTGTAATATATGAAAATATTTGAATTCCAAATACTTGAAAAAAGGTGTTGTACAGATAAAGACTAAAATAAATTACACAGTTTATATAAAGAATATATATTTCTTATAATCTTTTTCACATAATTGAACAATTTTGAGAAAATATACAATATAATATTCATTAAAATGAACATGCTCAAGAAATGAACAATAAACAATTTTAGTAGTTATTTCCTTATATATATATATATATATATTGTAACCCCTCACACCTGCCGAATGTTTGTGTGTGGCTTCTGGAGCGGGAATGGGTTTTTCAATAACAATCATGACACTTTGGTAAACAAACATGTAATGCCAAAATGATGATGGGTGATTTATAAATTACCTACAATTATGACAAGTGCGACATATTTATAGTTAAATTTACTCAGTTTGGCTCGATGTAATTGCAATTCAGTTAAAAGGCCGTCATTACTATTGTGCTGATGACACCTTCTTTCCAGCTTTGCTCAAAGAAATGTTCATCCGCATTCTAGCGGGAGCAAAGTGAATGATTACCTTTTCGTTGTTGTCGTCATCAGCGGGCATCACTGCACGCACAGTGGTGGGGTTGTTGACCGGCGTCACGGACGGGCCGCCCCCAGACAGCTGCGGAGAACCACGGCTCCCTCTCAGCGTAGCCGTTTAGCGTTGCCGCCCTCTCAGGTCGGCCCCATGGATGACATCGCCAATCTCCAGGCAGCTACGGCTTGCATCGGCGATGACGGATCGGGAGTCATCCGTCTTCCGTATCGGGCAATCGTAGGCGGGACAAATCAAACTATGGCACATGACCGCGTGCTACTGTGCACTGATACGTGGTCAGTGGCGTTCACGACCAGCGAGAACACTTTCCATTCCGGGAATAGTGTCTCCTTTCGCAAGAATATTCGAGTAAGTCGACTTCCCTCCACAAGAATGTTATAATAAATCAGAGTGTGAGAGCTCCACTTCTCTCCGCAAGAATGCTCCAATAAGTGTTTTTCAGAGCTGCTCTCCCGAATCATTAGGTCTCGGTACCCAATCCTCTCCTCCAGTGAGAATCCTCCCGATACGCGCGATTGAATTTCACGGAGCACGGTGGGGCGGGGTCCCTTTTAACAATTAAAATGCAGCCGCGGGCGATGTTTCCCTTTTTTCGTGGCCGGCGAAAAAAATCGGCATGACCTACCTCGGACACGCACGTGCGCCGCGGTTCGTTGGGGTCGTAAATCTGTCTCCCCCAAGTTGGCGCAATTAACGTCGGGTCTCTTTGACAAGCGGTCGCATGGGTGGGGAAAGCACCCACTCGAGGATTCGGCGGGACCCGGTTGCCGACAAAGGGCTCCCTTCTCCCCAAACTGCGCGGGGGTGTCCTGCCATAAAACGTCATACTCGTAAATACCCCTCGCTTCAATAGAGGAAGGGGCGCGGGTCAGGTACCTCCCTCTCCTCCAGTAGTGGCATCGCTGCAAATTTTATTCCTGGAAATTCTGCATCGTATCAGCTCGTACCGTTACAATATAATTAATCAATTAACATTCAATGTTTATTAGAATGTTAATTACATACATTACTTGTATACAATACATTACTTGTAAGACAATCAATACGTAAATATTTCCAAATTTTAAAGTCTTATTTTTCATTAAATTTTAAAATCATTTCATTAATGAGTAATAACTCATTCACTAAACACTGAGTAAAGTAATTGCAGTTCTGTTTATTTGTTCATCTTGAATTGAATTCTTCTGTTAGTTTTGGATAATGCTAATTTTCAACATACTAATATATTTTAATTACACTATATATAAACACAACAACGATACACCATTTTATTTATAAGCATTTGTAAAAGAATAATATTTACAAAACCTGGACCTTTCATTTTTGTTTCCTATTACTAATGTAAATTTACGAAATAATGAGACATTTATACCATTTTTCCGATTTTCATATATGTATTCACGTTAAATATTCATTAAAAATTGTTATATGTATCCAAGAAATTATTTAATGGTCTAAAGATCCTCATTTATTGGGCAGATGGTAAATTTTCTACTATAAAAAATATCTCTTCTATAGAAGTGAGGATCTGTCTCACCAATCGTATCAAAGTGTGCATATTTGATTAATTTTATTAGTCCACACAATTTTATTTACTTTTATAATATTTTATACATAATTTACCAATTAAATCTTGGCGATTTATGAATTTCAACAATCGTTCACGCAACTGTTTATTTTTGGGGAGCTTATGAAAGGGCAAAGGCGTTGAACACCCTCTTACGGAACATTTACCCATCTTCTGCAAATACAATTCTTTCTTTGTAGTAACTCATAAGAAAAGCAGATAATACTCATGGATAATACTCACGCACCACAACCAGCATTTCGCACATCTTTACTTTGAAAATGCGCGCCAAAGCGCAACAGCTGCGCTATCTGCACCAGATCCGTGACTGAGGAAACAAACTTGGTCCCCCGCCTTCTAATATTGAGTTAACCGGGTGAATACTCTCTGGAACCGGCCCTGGATTTCTCTTAGGTTACTCTCAGGGTTCTTCTTCACTTGCGTGCATTAGTGGTGCAAGCTTGATAATGCGTAATTTAGCGTGATTAGTAGTGGAAGTGCGAATTTGCGATTAATTTGCTGAGCTATAATTCTATTGCAATCGACAGGACAATAGAATGTTTAATCGCGCAAGTCACACTTAGAATTGTTAATGGTAAGTATTATAAATATTGCTTGCTTTAGCTGTTGTGTTTAATCTCTAGAATGTATTTTGATGTGTTTTATTATGTCTGGAGAAAAAAACCATCCACAATTTGGGGCGAATTCGCTTGTGTGTATTTTGAGATAGTTATTTACTGTTACTGTGGTTTGTTGGTGTCTTCTGCATTATGCTCGGGAGTGGTAAGCAGTAGAAGCGGATTTAAATTAGAACAATATAATACTTGTGTATAATTATAAATTGGGGTTAGTAATTCTTATTAACGAATGCTGAATGTTAAGAGAAAGTATCTTTGCTGAGTTTATAGATCAAATGTTGGTTGTTGGACTGATGTTGAGGTTATATATTTGCGTTAACTTTTCAAAGGTAGAAATTAAGTTATTTTTGAATTCATAAAATTTCATATTATTCACTGTATTTAGAAGTGGAAAAACATGCCAATCTATCTCCTTTTCCTTTCAGAAATTCCCATCGTACTTTATTGTTTGTGGTTCAGAGAAGATGCCCCGCAATGAACAGGTCATTTTTGTCCTATGTTGCCAGTTGTGTTTTTGTTGTTTCTTTATGCTGTGTCATAATTGTTGTATTTCTCACAGTGTGTGTGTGGTAGCCGGAATTCCAGAACACTTCGTTTATGCTGGTTGTTGCATGATAATGAATTAATGCTGGAGAAACTGACAGGATTAAGAAACAATTTCAAAGACACTATTGAAAAATTGGGTATTTGAAATTGGTTATTTGGTGTGATAATGTAATAAGAGGTTGTTGGAAATGTTCTATTGTACTATGTACAAACTTGGAAATGGTTGTGATTGCATACAAAATTAGCCTTTTCATTTACTTAAGGGGAAAATTCAATTTCACTTTGAATAGAATATTAATAATGTAATACTATTTAAATCGTTAATGAAATTTGTAAAATTATTGTTACAAATCTATTTGTTGCTTTTTTTGTTTATATTAGATAATTGTGAATTAACATTTAAACAAGTGTCATTGGCTTCCTTTTTTTAGGTTAGAAAGACTGATTCCCAATTACTGTAGACTTGCCTTCAGTCTCTGAATAGTGTATTAGGATAGCTAATAAATAATTCAAGAAATTAGTGACAATTCAAGAAAATATTTCATGTGATGGTTTAAAAAAGTGATTGTATTGGGAAAATTTTAGAGCCGAAGGAGGAGAAAAAAATCATTACTTCAAACATTTGTAGATAATTATAATATAACGATAATATTTTTGGTTTTCTTTTCTAAATTCAGAGTTCCATATACCCCATTTTCCACTAATTGATGGAAATTTGTCAGTGGTTGTAAGTCGGTCTTATTTAAATTCACCATAGAGAAGAAACACAGACGTGTGTGCAAAATTTTGTATATAAAATCACTAATATTGATGTGCACCTGTCATTTTCTCTCAAACAGAAACATTTTTTTTTATTTAAGGATACTGGTAGTAACTTATTATTGTAAAGTAAACATTAAGTAGAATTTAAAAATATTTAGCAATTTTTGTGCTTTTAAAAAGCACACTTTTATTTCAATTTTATGAAGTCATGCAAATTTGGGAAAATTAAATCAGATTGAATATGACACTAATATGTGTATTAAAAAAGTATTAGCAAAACACATTTTGTCAGTTCTGTGAATTCAAATGTTTATCTCTTGGAAACATTTCTAGAAAATCAACAGAATGATTGTTATAAAAGATAAATTATAATTATATCCAAGAGAGATATTTGTTTAAATTTTTATTCAGTATTTGAAATATCATATGTAAACAAGAAAAGAAGAGTCATTTTTAAAATTTAGTTTTTAAAATTTTCCATTTGAAAATAGTGATGCTTTTAGAACCACATAAATGGTACTAAAATGCTTACATACTTGGAGATATCTGTTAACCAAATTGACAATAGAAAAATATTCGTAAACATTTTATTTTGCTCTTCAAATGCAATTGATATTTTGTTAAAATATATTCAGATTTGCGAAACTTAAGATTAATCATTGCTGGTTTCCTGTATGATAGCCATTCCGTTTTCTACAGAATAATGTAAAAAGATTACAAATTTGATAGACTCTAACCTGCAAGTCCATAATTGGCACTTGATGACCTTTCTTACAATCTAAAAGTTTGTGCAGTGCTTCAACTTGTAGATTGTAAGAAAGGTCTTGGAAATTGAACAACTTGAAAACTGTTTTCTAATTTTTGATTGTTTTTGTTCATCTATTCTTTGTTCTTTATTTATATATAGTTACTACTTGTTATCTTTAAATTCTTCGTAGATTCTTGGTAATGTACTTCCTGTCATCTATTTTGGAGAAGGGGCCTATTTAGGGGTAGATGGTGCTTGCTGAAAGGAAATTAATGTAATAAATTCATCTTATATGGAATTTTTTTCATACTGGATGAAAAAAATGCTCTAATCATTGCTTAAAAAGCTCTTAAGGTTGTATCTTATAATGTTTTTTATTTTTTATTTTTTTGCAGTAGTACAAAGGTTCTGAAATGTTTTTTAAATTGTCAGTGAATTGGCTTTAAACTTAAAACGTCAGATTTGTCAGGAACACTATTGTTATTTGGATTATTTACATTTATTCATTTCCTTTTAATGTGAGTAACGTGTCTCATAGATTAATTGAGACAGAAAACTTACGTGTTCTTGTGCGAACTGTATTGAAGTGCCAAGTTAGGATGACATTTCCCATTATAATTCTGGAACATTGAGAGATTCTTGAGCCCTGCTGTTTATTTTCTTTGTGAAGCAAATCACTGTTGTTAAATTTTAATGTAGACATTGAATAAAAAATAATATTGGTGAATTGTGAATATTTCTTGTTAGCCGAAAAAATGTTAATTATGAACATGAGGTCCCCCCCTCCAATCTCTTGAAATTCTTTTATAAGCATATCCTCTTAATGTTTCTTGAAATATCAAACAATTTTTATTTCATTTTACAGTTTTTGGAATATATAAATTGTACTCATTGGTCCTAATTGCAAATTCTTGTTAGTATTGAGCCCTAGATGTTAAATGTATGCCAGTTTTATGTAGTTTATTTTTATTTATTTATTTTTAAATCGAACTTTGCGTAAATGTGTGCCAAAAGAAACAGCATGTGCCATTATTCCCTCTCTTATTCAATATTTTTGGAAAAGTGGTCTTTCCCTTACCTTGCTTCCCTGCTTGCATGCAATCAAGCACATTTTAATCCATGTATAAATGTTCCTGGTGCCATAGTTTATTTAGTAATTTTTGTTTCCTTTTGTCGTCATTTCAGTTTGCAATTCTGCATGAGCATCACGTAGTTGTGTTGTCATGGCTGCCTATATAAACCGCACTATCTCTCTGATGGCCGGGGATGGGCCAATCCCTGGGCCAGGAGGAGATGCACGCAATTTACGTGACTCCTCTCCCCTGCAGATCTTTGTGAAGGCCAAGAAGAAGATTAATGACATTTTTGTGGAGATTGAGGACTACGTCAGGGACACTGTGTCTTACATGCACAGTAAGTACTGCAAATGAAAGGGTTAATTTGAAGATGCAATAAGAAACTTAATTTGTATTATTGTGTATTATGCTTTAAAATTATTTTAATTTTTAGCTTTACATCAAGATCAGAATATTGTCGTCCAAGATGAATCAACCTTGGTTGGAGGTTATATCACAAAAGTTAGAGGAATACGGGATGTCCTAACGCGTGACCACATGAAAGTTGCATTTTTTGGCCGGTGAGGACAACTTTATAATAATAATAAAAATAATAATAATAATTATAATAATAATAATTATTATTATAATTTCTTAAGTTATACTCTTGTGAGAAAAAAATCATATTCAGTTCTTTTTTCAATTTTATTATGCATAGTATTTAATTATATTTATTATGTTATGTAGCCAGAAGGTAAAAAATAGTTTGTTACGGTTTCCTGCCAATGTTGCTAATGCCATGTTTTCGTGGTGATTGTCTTGAAATTTGTTTTTCTTGTGTTTTAAATGGGAAAGCAGTATTAGAAACTCTTCCAGATTAAGAAGCTGTAGGTAAAATTAACCCTTAATTTAGGCTTGAATATCTACTTCAGTTTTTGCTCATTTTCAATATACTTTTAAAGATGACTTCAACGTATCAGGTAATAAAATTGTAATACAATGCATTTTTAAAAATGACTGCCACTTACACTACTGCACTTCAATGAACATGGAATAACCCATCACAGAAATGTACAGATGGCTGTAAAGATTTAGATTTATTTTGTCAAAAAACAGTAAAAACTGTATGTGGCTTATGGGGGGGAAGATTATCTGCACATGTTTTCTTGAGTTCCAGAATCCCTTCCTGTCATTTTAACTATAAATAGTTGAAAGATGAGTAAAAGTTTAACATAAATAAATAAAAATAAGTTTTAAAAATCGCAAGGCTAGCAATGTATGAAAAAATAGACATTTTCGTTTTGGAGTTATAGAAAACTTATTTGCATTGGTAAACGAATTGCTAGTATAATTTTTCTGCATTGCTAGCAAAATAGTAACTCGCTCTTACTTCTACTCTTACCATTACAAGCAAAAGGGGAGTTCAACAAAATGTGCGCATAGTGAAGCTACATTTTTGTCCAGAAGCAAAACAAGAGGCCATCTCAGCATTTGCTCAATGGATCAGGGAAACTGGACAAAAACTGATCGAGATGGGGGTCATTGACCCAGAAGCTGAAGTACATTATTTGTTACAAACATATTAAGTTTAAAAAAAATTATACAATACAAATGTAAACTAATTCAATATATATCACAGTTTTGTTAAAATAAACATTATTTATCTAAGCTACAGGAAGTATACAAAAATAATTGTGTTGCTGGTTGGGTAGGCAAAGTGTGGTTTGATAAGTCATCTCCATAATCAACCCATCATCTGGGGAAGAAAAAAATACTGCAAATGGTTAATTGATTGATTAGATCAGAGTCTCAAAAATGATGAGGTGATAAATGTTTCATAAGAAAGTATTTGTTGAAAATAAATAACTAAGCCTGGAATGATTTAAATCAAATTATTTTAAAAAACACAAACAATGATTTACATCAGTATTTATTATTTGAAAATATATTTGTAATTTAAATATTTGTAAAGTAAAAATTACTCAGATTAATAGACTTAAATGAATCACAGTTGTTCTTAAGTATATATTATATTTCTTATAAACTTTTTCATGTAATTGAACTACTTAGAGACAATTAAATATAATATAATAAGGGTACTTCCCACTAACCATTAAAGGGCTGAAAGTGCATAAGTAACTACCATTATAGCCATATTTTTTTTTATAACAGGACAACTATTAAGTAAAATTTAATATTTCAAAAACCGCTTAACATAGTTTTAAGTTTTTTGATAAATTCAGTTGTTTTCAACCATAAGTTCTTGTTGATTGGAGCAGTATTGCACAAAAAAATGGTAAAACTTTTTTTAACACAGAATGTCTTTTTTCCAAATCATTCTAGTAGATTATGCCCCAAGCTTATTTGGTAATGTGGATGCAAGAGAAATATTTCAAGAGCACAGATCTATAAGTAAATCAAATGTGAAGATTTTATGGGTTAGGGTGTTATTGCACCGGACCTCCCAAATATATAGTATCTTTTTACTTTTTTAAATAAAATAACAATTTAAAAATGAAGTTTTAATAAACTTTTTCTGCTTTTAAAGTAATTAAGGATAAGTAAATCACTTAAAGATTTTGGTTTAAAGTAAAATCATCTAACACAATTTTGAAAAATCTTACTTAAATAAAAAAAAAAAATCATATATTTTCGATTTTTCTTGCGCTATGAATAACTATTACTTGCAAATGCTGTGATGTCAGAAATGTCAAAATCTTGGAAAAAATGTGATTTTTTTTATTTAAATAAGATTTTTTATAATTCTTTTATATTTTATTTCCAGATATAGTGTTACTTCTATATATATAATATATAATATAGTATACTATTATGTATATTATATATATATATACTTATATATATGATAGCTCTTTAAAGTTAATAAAACCTGATGGATTTTTAACAGGACAAGCAATGGGAAGAGCACTGTAATCAATGCCATGTTAAGAGATAAAATCCTCCCAAGCGGTATTGGCCATACTACAAACTGTTTCTTACAAGTGGAAGGCTCAGATAATGGTGAATCTTATCTTATAACTGAAGATTCCACTGAGAAACAGAATGTCAAAGTGTGTATATTTTTGCATAATACTTCCTTTATTAAAACTAATAATTTTTTACATAACACGTAATAATGTCTGTAACATTTTATTTACTACTGTGGAAGATACTCTGGCCACAGGAGTTTCCTTGACCGACTGATGCACAAGAGTATTTGAAAATAAAATAAACATTTCTTCAGAGTGAGACAACTTTGTGTTAATTCTTCTTTACATATTTTTTTTTACAGGAATGTTTTGAGCATTAATCTTCCCCCCACGATCTTCTGGATACAAAGAATATAACAGCAAAATTTTAGCAAACACTGAACTAAATAAATGTTTCTGATATGAAAATACAATTGAAAAATAATAAAAAATCATATTTTAATGAGAGAAACCTTTATTTCAGTGTTTATTATTGAGTTAAGCGTTTCCTTAAATTTTTGCTATTACATGCTTTGTAGCTTGAAGAAGGGGAGGGGGATTAATAATAATAATGATGATGATGATGATGATGATGAAAAAACACACAAACACAACGTTCGATGCAAAGAAGAATTAGAACTTCAGTTACTTCGTTTTTAAAGATTCTAAATAATATTGTGAAATGCCCTGTCACGTAAACTTGTTGGCCAAAGTATCTTCTGACGTAATAATTATGTAACATTGTTTTATTTTTAGGAATTTCAGAAAAAACATAATATTTTAGAATTCTTTGCCTATGTTATTAAAAGAATTGTAATTTTCAAAAAGAATATTGTGTACAGTAAAAGCCCTCTTTTACACTTTCCATGGGACCGTAGGGAAAATAGTGTAAATAAGGGGAAATAATTTTTTTCTTTGAAACTATGAGAACAGTTAATGTATTTAGATACATACAATCATTAAGGATTATAATATGCTTTAATATGCAGAATTAGATTCATAGTAAACAATCTTACAAGGTCAAATAGAAATTGACCGAAATTTACACCTGTAATCAAAAGTGTACTAAACAAAGCATAATTAATTTTTAATGTCACAGCAACACTTCTACGAGTCCCCACCATCCACTGATGGTAGCCTTTGACAATGCAACAATGTACTCGTTGAATGAAGGGAAGGAAATGGTATTTCTACTGTAAGGGGAAAAAATGAAATGTTAACATTTTCCCCAACTCAATAAAATGTTTGTTTTTGGCATTTCATAAATAAATTAATTAATTTATTTATCAAATAAAAGAAATAGTGTTCATGAAACCAGGTTTTTCAGTTAAAACATACAAAGAATTCCTTACTTTCATGTTTGAGCTATAAACGGATGGGAAAAAATTGTTTATTTTAGAATGAGAGTGTTAAATTGAGGAGGATAATGTAAAATAAATGATCGTGAGGCTACCTGTCTTAGACCTGTCACATGAGCTTTGCGTTGATGTGCGTGCACACATCACATGCATGTCGGTGATTAACATTATCTTACGTGAAACATTATACGAGTGCTCTTAGCAATGTGCATTGTACCCACAGCTAAAGGAAGAAGTTGAAGCTACAATGTAAGTCAAGATAAAGTGTGTTTTTTAGCTTTCAACAAATGCTGCCCGCAAGGAATCTAGCGTTAGCAGCAATGCGCATTGCTAACAGCACTCGTGTGTTGTTTCACATAACATACAGTATCAATCTACCACATGCGTTAAGTGACTCATGTTCACAGGCATTGGTGCAGCTAGCATCCTTAGTGTTTGGTGACACACGTCAACATGATGCTCATGTGGCACTGACCTTGTGTTTTTCTACCAATGCACATTGGTAATTTTTTTTACCTGTGAAATGTCATGAAATGAAAATGTGTAGGCTTAGCTGCTCAATAATGATTTTCACTGTATTTAAATCTTCTAGTTTTCAGGTGACATTTCATAACTTCATAATGTTGCACCGTTTCAATAGTCTTTCTGTAATATCCATTTTTAAGCAAGGTGGTGGGAAAGTGCAGCAAGTGTCTGTTGTGAGCGATATGAAGTGCTTTCCAGATGGTGTTGTGGCAAGCAGACTGTTGTAAATTGGGAGGGGGGATTGAAATTATACTATTGTAAATGTGGAGTTATTTATATCATTATGAATATATGAAAACTGATGGGACCGACAAGAATGTTGTAAATATTAGGAAAACTTAAATTGCGGGTATGTGAAAGCGGGGTTTTCTGTAGTTTGGAGTAATACTTCTTTTGTAGAAACCTATTTTTATTTAGTTTTTTCTCTCTGTAAATATTATGAAGATTTTTTGAGAGAAAATCAAGTTGAGTTGTCCTATAAGTGTTCTCTCAGATACGAACACTTAGAAGCAATAACTCATTGCATGTATTTAAATTTAAATTTGCATTTGCAAAACTCATTGCATTGATTTCATTTCAGAGGGAGTACTGAAATTGATAAAAACTAAATATATTGTTGAATGTTTAATTCATTTTCCTCAGAATTTCTACTAATTTCTTTTTCTGATATTAACAGTCCGTAGGGCAGCTTGCTCATGCTCTCTGCAAGGAGAAACTTGGAGAAAGTCAACTTGTGCGAATCTTTTGGCCAAAAGACAAATGTCTTTTGCTGAGAGATGACGTGGTATTTGTAGATTCTCCTGGCATAGATGTATCCCCCAATCTTGATGAATGGATTGACAGACATTGCCTGGATGCTGATGTGTTTGTCCTTGTTGCAAATGCAGAATCCACTTTGATGTTAACAGTAAGTTTTTGATTAATTTTTTTTTAATTTTTTTATATTAGACAATGAATTCCCTTTACTATAAAGATAAAGATTTCTTCATTGGAAATCTTAATAATAATTGACAGTCTCTCAAGCTCTTACCTTTCATTAGTGTGAGGCCTGGTCTGGAGTGGTTGACACCTAAAACCAATATTTTATTGCATATTTGGTAGGTAGATTTTGTTAGATATGAGAAGGCTGGTATACGAATAAATTTCAGTCATGGAAGTTATATATGCTCTCATCAAAGGAGTTTTATGCATTAAATATTCTTAAAAAATTGTCCATGTGGTTTAAAGGCATCTGAAAGAATCAGAAATGTTGATTGTTGTTTTTCTGCAAAAGAAATTTTGGCAGAAGTTACGTTTTTAAAAGGGGGTGTGTTTTCTTTGAATCTGCCAATTACATTTCAAAATTCCAAATGTATTCAGTGATTTAAAGTGGTTGTGACATCCTCATTGTATAAAGAGTGTTCAAAAGTTTCTGTAAAAGGAAACATTTACAGAAAAATATTTACTGCTGAATTTAAGCTTTAAGCTTTCTTTAAACCTAAGAAAGTTCATTGTGATCACTGTGAGATTTTAAAATGTAATCTAAATCCAACTGAAATAAGATGTAATGTTCAGAAAATTGCAAGATAAAGGGAAAAGGATTAGACACAGGAATGCCAAGGAGGAGTTCAAACCATGGCACTGGAGTGTTAAAGATTTCAAAATGTTTGCCCTCCCATAAGCTATTGTATCTTAAATGTTTTCTGTAAAAGAAAACTTAATGGTTGTAATTTAACAGCATGTTTTATAGATAGAAAAACATACTACTATCTAGAATGAATCCCAATCTGGGAGAGTGTGGAATGATATTGCTAATGCTTTAGTTAGTATTCTCAAAAATTTGTACAAATAATCCCAATATCACAAAATGTATTATTTGGTCAGATTCATGTGCCCCTCAAAATAAAGACAAGGGCTATGCTGCCACTCATGCTGGGAGATTGGTCGGGAGCTTAAAGCTTGTCCAACAGGGTGGTGCCCCGCTGGTGGGAGATACCTAGTTGAGGAAAACCCACTAGCCAACGTTAGGTCAGCGTCAAATCTCACCATGCAGCAGGGGAAGACCACACTCACCTCCCGAGCAAAACATGCACTATGCGTACAGGACTAATGATCCTAGCAGATCCATGGTTGGAATCAATGACAATCAATCAATGGCTACTCTCAATTTTTTAAACAATAATAAGAAAATATTCAGTGGTGAATAAAAGTTCTCAGAACCTGGCCAAAATCTTGTGCTAGGAATTGATTCTGTACATAGTGTCATTAAAAATAGGCTACAATTTACTACTGGGGGAATTTACTAAGGATGGAAAATTGAAGGAGATACCTTTAAAGGTTATTTAAAAAATGCTCCTCAAAAAATACCCAGGTTAATATGGGAGAGATACACTTCTTCTGGGTGCCCTTAAGTTCAAATTCAGAGGTATTTTATTTATTTAAAGTTCAAATTCAGAGGTATTTTAGTTATTTAATTAAATTCAGGTTCAGAGGTATTTTATTTATTTACATGATACACTACATTGAGCAAAATTAAAGGAAAAGTGGGTGTGGATTTGTGCTGCTGGAACTATCTTCTATCTTGTTTTCTGTAATCAACTAGCAGTTTGGGTGTTGAGAGAAGATAATCATGTAATATTCTAATTCAGATAACTATTTATATAAGTAATAAATTACTTTCCAAAATCTCCTGAAATGCCATAGAAGCTGTTCAGGGACGTGCTGGTTAGTTTGAATTTAAAGAATGAAATTAACAGGGTTACAACATTCAAGCTCCCGATTGCATGAAACTGTGAACAAGTGATTTATACAAAGTGTACAGTTAAATGAATCCTAGTATAACTTCAGTGATAATGTTTTTGAATCTAGCACACTATCCATTACTCCGTCATACAATTGGTGAGAGGTTGCAAATCTTCCCTCGATGTTGTGATTGTAACACCTAACACATTGGCAGCATTCAACTCAAAATTACATGTAAAATACTAATATTTTGAAAAAATATATAAAATGATTAGATGCATCATAATTGCTTCGTACAGAAATACCTCATCCATTTTTTTAACAGATGTTAAGATATGTTGATGGGGGAATATCCATTTGGGGAGAAATCCTGAATTTGGTTTAAGCACTAGTATTGTTGACATTAACATGGTTTGAGAAGAAAATAAATATCCTTTTTCAGATAGGATCTCTTTAAACGCGTATTTGCATCATAATCTCTTATTTGCAGAATAACATAACTTACTCTTTACTATGACTTTCCATGTGCACTGGTAAACAAAAAAGTAAAAGTTAAGAGTTTTCTCGTGTGGGAATGGGAAAGCGAAACTATCAAAAAATTAAACTACTTACTGGACCATCTTAGGAGTTATATAATTAGTCTAATAAGATCACTGCTAGAAGGAGAACTTTAAGTACATAATGACTTTTTATTTCAGGAAAAGAACTTTTTTCATAAAGTTTCTACCCGCTTGTCGAAACCTAACATTTTCATCTTGAATAACCGTTGGGATGCTTCTGCTTCAGAACCTGAATATCTGGACCAGGTAAGACTATGTTTATGAAAGAACTATTTATTTCATTTTATGATCTGGCGTTATATTATCTGCAACTAACAAAAGTAGTGTGTTATCTGCTAGTGGCAATATTTACACTTCATACCCTTTGCTAGATTTACTTGCTTATACCATATTTACATTTTCTTTTTAATGCATTCAAGCAGACTAATGAACAGAGTGAGGTAAGAGCTTCATTGGACACTTGTTTATTAATAATCTTGGAAGTTTCATTTGTTATTTTAACTTGTCGTTTAGCTCTGTAATGGTTTTATTAACACATTTTGAAATGGAAAAAAAATTATAATAATTACTACTATAATAATGCATGTGACATTTGTTAAAATAATAATATAAATATATTATTTCCAACAATATTATTGAAAAATATGAGAAACTTTCTTGGGATGGTTTTCGCAAAACCTGGCAATTATTTAATGTTATACAATCAAAAGATTCTGGTAAAAATATTTGCAATTGTTGTTGTTTTCAGAAGATGATTATAACAATTTCATGAAACTTCTTATTTTTCATTGTTCAGTCTTTGTTATAAGAATTGAGCTTGCATGTTCTGCCTAGATTTACTTTAAGGCTTATCAATTTTGAATCTAATATCTCAAATCTATAATGTAAATCCCTATCTGTATTATTCGATAGTGCATTGTGCATACAGTCAATATTTGCAAGAAGGTTGAGTTAGTGATCCTGTATCTCCATTAATAACAAATCAATAAATAAATAAAAATAAAATGAATATAGTTTTGTTAATGATTTGTTGTTTTAAACAGGTGAGAGGACAACACATGGAGAGAACTGTTGATTTCTTAGTTAAAGAATTGAAAGTATGTACTCAGAAAGAGGCCAGTGAGAGGATTTTCTTTGTATCAGCTAAAGAAGCTTTGCAGGCCCGATTAATGGAACAGAAAGGGCAACCTGCTCATTGTGAGTGTAACTTTTAGAGTAAATATTGAAACTGATTTATGTTTAAAAGGTTTTGGCAGTTACATTTCCTTCTATTTAACATTTTTGTAGCGGGAGCTTTAGCAGAAGGTTTCCCAACCAGATACTTTGAGTTTCAAGACTTCGAAAGAAAATTTGAAGAATGTATTTCCAAGTCAGCTGTAAAAACAAAATTCGAACAACATTGTCAGAGGGGCAAATTGATAGCAAATGAAATTCATGGAGTGATGGATGGTGTTTATGATCGTGCTCAACAGTTACGCAGTGAGAAAAATGTTACTAAAAAGGAGCTGTATGACAAACTGAACTTCACCGAGCAACAGTTGTTGCTATTGACCCAAGAAATGAAGGACAAAATTCATCAAATGGTGGAAGATGTTGAGCAAAGAGTAAGAACACCACAAATGTGTTCTAAAATAAATTTTTGATAAGTATTAAAATAATTGTTTAAAACTTTACAATAAATTAATGAAAATACTTCTGCTATCATTTTCTAGGTTTCAAAAGCACTAAATGAAGAAATACGTAGATTAGCTGTCCTTGTAGACGAGTTCAACTTACCCTTCCATCCAGAACCATTGGTGTTGAATGTTTATAAGAAAGAACTTCATTCCCATGTGGAAAATGGTTTGGGCAGTAATCTGCGTGCAAGACTATCGACAGCTTTGGCACTAAATATTGAGAACAGTCAAAGAGAAATGACAGGTAATTGGTGGTATTTTTCTTTTTATTACACAGGGGAAATGTACATAGAAGAGTTAGGGAATAATGAACTGGAGTAGAAATAAATTAGGGTGTAATATATATGTTAAAGGCAATGAAATTTTCAATGAACACCCTCTGCTAACTATTTAATGGTGAAGTTTTTTTTGGAAACATTACCTTGCTTGGAATTTCCAATATAGTTTTTTTAAAACTTATTTTCCTTTGGTACTTGTTAAATGAAAAGAATATTTAAAGATTTTTTTCAGTTAAATTAGAAATTTAGTAATGTAATTAGGCAGGAAAAAGTATAAATAAAAACTGAAACTTCACCATGGACCACCATCCCTCACTGACTGGTTAAAAGGAAAGAAATAGTTTACATGAGTTTGGGATGTTAAATATAGAACTTTTGGTAGAGAAAACTGTTTATGAAAATATTGTGTTATCAAGGTTCTCCTGTTCAATTTGTAAGAAAATACTTCGTTTATTCCAATCATTGTATGATTTTGAATTGCAAGTTAATTGTGGTTTCAGAACGCATGTCAGCTCTTCTTCCTGCCGACAAGAAGCAAGTGACACTAAATGTTTTACCTCGAAGAGAACCTTTTGAAATCTTATACAGGTTGAATTGTGACAACCTATGTGCGGACTTTCATGAGGATCTGGAATTTCGGTTCTCTTGGGGGATCACATCTCTTATCAATCGATTTGCTGGAAAACAAGGTCATCGAATTGCTTTGGCAAATTATACCAGTCGAGTGAGTTAGAACACTTTATACTAGACATTTATTTTTATTTTTGGTGTTATTGTTATATTTATTATTATTATTATTATTATTATTATTATTATATAACTTCATAAATACACTGTTTGAATGTTCCTGTTAAATGATTATTGTAAAACACTGTCATTTTCAGATTCCGCGTGATTTATTGTCACCTAGTGAGAATGTAGATCCAAATACTAAGTTTTCATCTGGTATGGTTGCCCAGCGGCAGTCTGGAGATGATTGGTCCTTGGCCTCACGCATTGTGATGGCATCTATAAGCTCTCAAGGCACTATGGGAGGATTACTTTGTGCAGGCTTTGTTAGTATATTCATTTATTGGTTATAAAGGTGTATGTTTTAACCCATTTAGGCAATTTTGGAGTACTTTGAAAAAAAGCCTTAATATTGTGTGGTGTTTGAGATTTTTAGATTCTTGTGTGAAATATGTGTAGGAAAGGAAATTCTTAGAATGTTATTTTTTAGCTGCTGAAGACTGTTGGATGGCGTTTAATTGTCATTTCTGGAGCTGTTTATGGCTTGCTGTATCTGTACGAGCGACTCACTTGGACTAACAAAGCCAAGGAACGATCATTTAAAAATCAGTATGTAGGCCATGCTACTAAGAAATTGAGACTCATTGTTGATCTTACATCTGCAAATTGTAGTCATCAAGTTCAACAGTAAGTAAACATTAGTGAAAATAGGATTTTAAATCATTGCATGTATTTTTTAAAATTACAATTATCATTTTTATTATTACTATTATTATTACTATTATTATTATTATTATTATTATTATTATTATTATTATTCATGTATATTTAAAACACTAAAAATGTTAATTTAGAGACAAATTTTAGCTTTGTTCTCTACCAGATTTTGTGATTTTTTTTGCTTGAAATGAAAACTAGTGGGTTGTAGTTCTGTAATCATTAGAGAGCGGATCGACAGGCACTATAAAATGGACAGTAGGCAGGTTGAAAGGTGCTAAAAATTCTGAAAAATACACATGTAAATAGGCATTTATGAACAAAATACTATTGAATCACTCTTGGTATTTTTTGCTAATTTTGCATTTATTATGGTTACAAATTTCTACAAACGAACTGAATCAAACGAGATATACAACCACAGTAAATAATTAACTGTTTGTTTAAATCTCACGTAGATGGCAACTTGTTAAAGCAAACTTATTTTAATAGTAAGTAATATATATATCTGCTAAAGCCAAGGCAAAAGTGCCAAACAAACATCTTGAAAATTATCACTTACTGTGCTACGTGCTGAAGTAAACCATGATCTCCTGTCACTCAAAACATTTTTGTGTGTTGTCAGAAAATTGTCAAAAACGGTAAAATGAACAAAGCAAACTCGTTTAGGAATTCATTGTCATTTATTAAATTATACCTACTTTTTGAATGAAAATGGAAATTTAAATTTAAGAGTGGGTGTTGGGTTGGGTAATTGATGCTTGAATAATTGATAATGGAATGAATTACAGTAAAACCTATCTAAGACGGAAACTTGCCATCCCGGTCAAAATCGGAACGATTTTATTAGTGAAAATAAGGCAAATTCAATTCAAAATAACCTCTGTAAGCCGGAAACCTGAATGATGAAAAGGAAATGTTTTTAGAGAACGTAGATTGTTACTGGCTAACAAGGAAATTTATTTTTAAATTTCAGGCACCATCTTTGGAATGGAATTGTTGCTAAGGGTTACGTCCTGAGAAAAGTGAATGACAAGCTATTCCTCTTACACTTGCTATCTCCTTCTCAATCTTTGGTCTAATTTTCACGGCCAGATGAACATTTTTTAATGGAACCATCAGGTTCTGGCTTAGGTTTTACTGTATTGTAATATATTGAATAAATAAGGCAAAAAGGGTGAAATCCGCTTTCTAGTTATCTTCTAAACACTTCATTATCTTAAAATTAATTGAATGAACGCTACCTGCCATAATTTGTCATTAGGTCATATTCAAAACCAACTACACTGGGTATTGGTCATGATGTCATGTGAGTTGCAATTTATCAATCTGAAGCAGTTGACATTTCATGGGTCATAGTTTACAAAGTGAAGAGAGAGCTTTTTGAGTTTGAAGATGAGATTTTTTTTATTGCAAAGTTTATTCACAATAACTCAAATGTTCAGCATGTGTTCCTTTACAAAACAGAAATTGATTATATGTATTGGTTTATGCTATTGAAGAGAGTTACTTAAATTAAGTTTTGTAGTTTGTCTTAGCTATTGAATGTCCAAATATTTGGATTGTTGTATCAGACTTTTAAAAATATTAGGAAATTTAAAAATATATTTGATTTCATTGTTTTTATCTTGAATAATGCTAATTGTATTGGTTGTCCAATTTGCAGGGAGCTTTCAAGTACTTTTGCCCGCCTGTGTCATCTGGTGGATGAAGCAACTAATGACATGCATTCAGATATTAAAGCTCTAGAGAAGGAATTGAAACTTTTGGAAGATGCTGCCAACTCTGCGAAAATGTTACGCAACAAAGCCAATTATTTAACAAAAGAGTTAGAGATATTTGAAGATACATATTTGAAAATGCAAGGTTGAACCCTTGATATGGCAGCAGGGGTTTTGTTGACCACAGTTGTTTCCCTGTTCAGAACGAGAAATTGATTCTCTGGAATAGTTGTTTTTTGAGGTTTCTGGTGCATATCACAATACGCCAGCATTTGGGTCAGAGTCAACTACAAAGGTGTTTGGAAATCAACAGCTATTTTCTTTTCATGAGTTGCACAATAATTAGTGAAAATCTTTGAGGATAAAACAAACAAAAAATTCAGACAAGACAAAAAACTACAAAATTGCTCTTTGGGAAATTAAACATTTTTGAATGTGGGTAAGTTTGTGTATTCAGCGATATGTTTACCCTAAATTTTTCATATCCAGTCTGCTAAATAAGTAGGTTTTGGTTATTTCTGGTTGATAGCTACGTTATGTACTTTACTACAAATCAAACTGTGGTCTTCGTTCCCCTCTTTTGTATGTAGTATGAATTAACTACTTAGCTTGTACAATTGTAAATTAACTGATAGTTTTTATTTGTACAGCATTTAGATTAATTTAAAAATATGTTTAAAGGAATACACTATTGTGGGTTTTATTTATTTTGTTGGCAGCTTGGTTTAGTGATATACCATTTGAACAAATGAACATTGAAAACCACACTGCCAAACACTGAAACATGAATTAATTGGAAAGTGTCAATAGCTTTGTTGAATCTTAGTCTCTTTCAGTCCTTTTTTGGAAAATTTTATTCAAATGGTTTAACAGTTTTCATAAATTAAGACAATGAACCCTGTGTTTTTTTTTCATTCAACATGTTTCGTTTTTTTGACAAATTTTTTGAAGTATTGATGTAGTGTAGTTTGGCTCATTTAAAATGATTTGCAACTGTTGGTAGTCATTTAGAAGTCATATATTTGAGTTTGAGTCTATTTGAATTTTTCACTTGCCCTGCAAACAGTAATTGTATTTGAAGATAATACTAACACCTGAGATGTTTTAAAATGGTGTCTTCCAATTCACATTCAGTGTCATTGCCTTACATTTGGAACGGGTAATAAAGCATTGATGGTAGTACAAGATTAGTGTGTGAAAACACGGAATTGGGCATAACTTCTTTGTTGGAGGAGTTGTGAGTCTGTATTTGTCTGATAGTTCTGAAGGGAAAAATCTAATTGGAAATTAAGAGAAGATGGTAAGGTGGTTGAATAAAACATTTCTGAATGCTAACTACTCAATTGTGAGGTAAGATTTCAGTGTGTCCAATCTTTTATAAATTTCATTCCGAAAGTAAATGATGGTATATATTTGCAGACACTGAAAGAAGTTACATTGCACTAGAGGGCAGAAAATATTGATTTGTATTTAAAGAGCTTTGATGAATTTGATTATTAATTGTATTGGTGATTAATAAGACCAGATTTAAATTCTAAAAATAATTTGTATTAAATTCTCTTTATTAATTCGTATATTTCAAAATTTTTATTATCAAACAGTTTATATTTTTTAATGGATAAAGTGTTATTTGAAATATTTATAGACTGATAGCATGTTATGAAGTGCAAAGTTTTATTGTGTTATTCTTGTGCATTCTGTAAATAACAGGAGAAATAAGTTTTATATTTGTGTTCATCTTTTTTGACTTCAGACTGATTGATATAATCAGAATGAATATTGTGAAAAGTGGCCTTTCACAAATGTTTGTTTTGAAAACGTCATTGTTGAATTTAATATGGTAGGTTCCACTAGTCAGAATAAGTTTTTGACGTGCATTAATGTACATTGTCAAAAATATATGTACAGCAGCATGTGTGGAGTGAAATACAGAAATAATATTCAGCAAATTTGTTATTTTTTTTCTATTATAAAACCTTTCATCATTGTACATTGATATTTAGACTATATACATAATACTTGAATTTGTAAGATTTTATTTTACATGCAGTAATATTGAATTGTGTTATGGTAGGCTGGATGTGTTTTGTAAATGGTGTATTGTTCCTTTACTAGAGTTAATCACATTTATCATTTTTTTTCTATTTGAGATGGTCTCATGTTAAGCATTTTTACTAAACCCTGCAATTTTTTGCAGTCTTTTATTAAATTGTCAGTCAGTTCAAGTCTGAGGTTTACATTGTCATTTAAGTGTTGCTATAAGGGAGACTATTTTTATGTATGTGAATTAATAATAAACTTATCAATATCATCAATATTGTGTCTTTTGTGTGTATATATGTTAAGAGCATATGACACATTTCCAATAAAAGTTTTTTTCAAAGACACAGGTGGGTTATTTTCATTCTTCCAAAGAATTACACTAGTAATGTTTATTATGATAGGAAGTTAATTTTGATACGTGTATTCATTCAAAATAAGATGGAGATCATACTTGAAAGAAATTCCCAATTGCTCAAAATTTGCTATTTTTCTAATTCAGTCATTTTGATTTTATAATGCGCACAGGATTCTCTCAATTCATGCAGAGTTAGATTACTTCATGGATCAATATTTTCTATTTGAGATTGGAAGCATTAAGGCCAACTGCCTCTAATTTTGTAAGTTCAGTGGTGACTAAGGAAATCGTACTGTGTACTAATGAAACTTGAGATAACGATCATTGTATTAGAATTCCAAATTATTTACAATACTGTTTTATATTTCTCTTCATGAATAGAATTTGAACATGGTAACACACAACTTGCATGTGAGAATCAGAGTATATATGAGTGAGAATTATCTTGTGTCCAAATGGAAGGACCGTGTGCAGAGATTCTTGTCTTGGTGTGCTCCCTTGCAAGACATCTATTATTGTTTTGAAGATAAATAGTTATTTTCTGTTACTAGTGCTCTAGAAATGTTTCCTGGCCCCTTATATTTAATTTGGTCAGTATTTTCTGAAGTTTTTTAATCTTTTTGAACAAAGAATGTTGATTGCAACTCTCCAAGAAAATATCTGTGAATTGTGCTAGGATAATGACCTGTGCTGCCAGTCTGCAATGTGTTAATTCTGTATGTTGATTTAAAATACTTGTCATACAATATTAATAAAAAAAATATAGCAACTTCTTTAGGTCCTTACTTATGGAAATATTCCTCATATCAATCTGAAATGAGAGAAAAAAGTAATAATTAATCATATTTTTGCTTCTATAGAACACATGTCCATTGCACCTACAGGTTTACAATGCATAAAATATTAAAACTATGGTATTACAAACCATGAAAAGCTTAAGGACTATTGAAAATCAAGATGGGATTCACGTGAAAGTAAATAAAGTGAGTGGAAAAAGGTTTTATTATGTCATCGAGGCATTCCAAACGTTCTTTATCAATTTTTTTCTTATGTTTTCTATCCCTTCTTGCAGTAGAAATTTTTAGAGATGCCGAATACCCCACAAGCTGTAAAGCTAACTTTTGAATGCATACCATCTGAATTTTATGTGAAAGCGAAAGATCTTCTCAGTCCCCAATTTCTACTTTTCCTTCCTAAATTCTGCCACATTCTTTTCAATGAAGACTCAATAGGCATTTTGAAAATTCCTGGGCTGGTAGGCTGTGATCCAGTTGCCTTTAAGCTGCCAGACATTTCATCCACGTCTCCAGTAGACATCTTCAGTGGCGGCCAGGTCTTGGGCGCAGTATGCAGGTTGGTGGCTCGCTGTTGACTGAGTCTACAGCTTATTTGCTGTGAAGTAATTATTCAAAACTTGTTGCTTAAAGGTTAGCCTAAAGAAGGAAATATTCAGTATTGCTGACTGTGAGAAATCCAGGCGAGAGGGAGCTGCCGCTCCAGATACTGTTCCCAAGACCCAGCCACCACTGAAGATGTCCACCACAGTCGTGGATGATACGTCTGGCAGTCCAACTGGATCACTGCCTGTCAGCACTTAGGATTTTTCCTTTATTTAATTACTCATATTTGTTTTGTTTTTTTTCAGCTTCTTTTAGCGCTATCCATTTTCAAAGAATTATCATGTGGTAGCAAATTTGATTATTATTGAAAATGATTATACTTGGTTTACTATCACCCCAGGTTTTATATTTGCGAATGTTAGATCTAAAAATATGGGAAAGAGGAAACATTTATGTATCATATTAACAATACTATTAGATAAAACAGGATTATAGAACCTTTGGATCTTCATTTTGAGAAACATGGGATAGCTGACTATCATTTTCTACATCGAGTGTCAATCCATTGCCAAATATACTATTTACAGGAATGCAAATGAGTATATATAGATTGCACCAGTTTTGTAAATAAAGTTGATAATAAATGTTTAAAGAATTAAGAAACAAAAATATAGTTCTTGGTGTTGCATAGATTCTAGTTTAGCACAAGGAAACCATTTTGTTTAATGAAACTAGTTAGAATGTTTATTGTTGACTTGTCATTTTTTTAAAATTTGAAATAAACTTTAATAGCAAGTTTTTTCCATTCTGGTGGTAGTTATTAAGCAATGGTTATGTTTCATGTTGCTTCTTTACAAATAGTTCAGACGAGAAATTTTAACTCTTAAAAGGTTATTTTTAATTGCCCTTGTTCTCCCCTGAAGTCCTTTGTTTTGGATATTTTTCTTAACATTTTATTTTATGGTGTTCTCACTGTATGAAGTAGGAATTAATGGTTACTTGTTAAAAAATCTAAGACAAATCTGAAAAACACGTTTTTCTTTCAAGAAACCCTGGGAAAATTTTAAAGATCAAAATTAAGATTTTTGGGAATTCTTTTATCTTTCACAAAATGTTTTGAAATCTTATAGAAGTTGTATCAACATTATTTGTCAAGAAAAAAAAAAAATCAGTAGAGTTGACTGTGAAAAAACTTTCTCTTTCTACAGTTCTGGCCCTTTTTATATTCTTTACCAAACTTTACTCCTACTTATGACTTTGAAATAGGAGAGAGAATAATAATCTTGAAAACAGCAATAAAAAATTTGTCAAACCTTTTCCCATTTGCTTTCAATTGTCACTAATTAAGCTTTTATGGAATAGACAACATTAGATAGAACTATTAAGTATTGAACCAACTATTTTCTTACAAACAGAAAAGCTCTTATAACAATTGCATTTTAGCATGCTATATGTAACAAAAAGAAAAATTAAAGCCATTATAAAAGTACAAAATGTAGTAAAACTAATAAGTAGGTATATAATTATACTTACACTTCTCCAAATTAATAAACAGTTTCTTGAAAGCTATTTTTCACTTTCAGAGAATAATTCAAATAAAATGAATTTGACAATGAACTAGCAAAAATAGGTATTTTCATATGAAAGGTTATTTTAGTTGTTTCTTGTTACTAAACCTGACTTGATCCTCAAATAAAATAATTGAACTAGGTCTACTGTGGAGTTATCTCTTGAAGGAATTCTGAGAATTGGTAGTAATATGTAAATAGAAGTACACTCTCAAATTTAATAAAACCAAGAAAAAAGTGATAAACAAAATTTCAAAAATATTTTCTATGTAGTGAGTAAGGAACTTTACCAGTTAGGTTTAAAACACTGAAAAATTAAGCCAAAAAATTAACCAATTAAAACATTTATTGCTAATTAAGTAATAAATTAATTATTTTACAGCAAACTATTTCAAAGTGATGCAAAACTTAAAGAAACACTTTAAACAATACAAATATGTTATTGCTAAAAAAAGCAATGAATGCTTTATATCAGAAGAACCAGCAATAGCTGATTTTTCTTAATCTTTCTCTTACTGCAGAGTGCATTATACGTAATATCATAATATAATATCCCTGTAAGGAATAAACACCTCAAGGAGGAATAGGTTATTTATATCGTTTATTCCTGTGCTTGAAGCTGTACATTCTTGTTCATAGCTACCACGGGTACTCTAACATGTGACAAACCAAGAATTTTCAGCACCAAGTCCAGATTCAATTGCATAGAATGGAAGGATACAGAAACCTCCTGTTACCTCAATAGCAAGGAGCTAAACAAGGCAACTTGCAGTATCTAGTCAGTTGAATTTACTTTCTTTAAAAAAAATCTACAGGTCAATTAATTGATTTTTCTGACAGTGCAATGACTAGATGACCAAAATCTATTGAGAATTGCTCCTTACTGTCTGGCATTTTCAACATTTCTATCATCAGTTTCTCACAGATCTTTAAAAAAAGCCATATACATATATGTATATATGAATATGAATAATCTCTTTGCATGCAAGACCACAGAGTTGGATAATCTAACCAACCCTCACTCTCCCAATCATTCTTCCGCTATACACATTCATACATTTCAGCTGCACTGCACATATTCTACAATTTTATTCTTTTTTAATCTTCACAAAGCCTCATCTGGTGAGTAAGTTCCACATGGTCACTATAGCACCATTTTATCAACCATGACAGACTTCTGAGAAAATTGCACATATACACAAACAACTTGCTCACTCTTCAGTACTAAACAGTCTTCCCAAGAAGGCTTGAGATTCTTCTTTTTTGTCAGGTGTCTTCCAGTGTTGCTCTTCCTTTTCTCACACGGGTGCACATTCAATTGTTTTTCAAATATTCACAAAATATACAAGAGAAGTCCTTTGATCTTTACTTTCAAAATTATTGCCTGTTCATATACAGTATATTGTGTCAATTTCTGTGGACCTTTCTTCACCTCCTATTTGCACACATAAAAAAAGAAAACAAAACACAATGCTTAGACAATTTATTTAGGCCTACACACTGATATCATGTGTTTGTTTTTGTTTAATAAAATAAATTAAACTTGGAACTCATATTCACTTGCTTTATGGGAATGTTCACTTACATGGGTGGCAAGGTACAGACTATAGACTCTTCTGCTAATGGTGCATTGGCACCAAACATTGTGATAACACCTTACATATATGTAAATATCAATGATAATGGTTATAGCAAAGAGTATTATAGTTTTTAAAAGATATTTTATGCCTCTTGCTGACTTCAAAGTCTCATACAAAATAATATTTAAAAAGAGAACATAAAATATAAATAGAAAAACAACCAGATTTTTCTGGAAGATTTGACTGATAGTACAAACCAAAATATCACATCTCACAATTATAATTCAGTGATATACTTGTTTCCTTATGTATGGATACAAGTAAACTTATAAATATATTTGTATGAAAAAATAGCATATTAAATATCTGAGGGGAGAAATGCACTATATACAGCTGTCTGGATGTTGACTGGATAAAGACTTGCGTGACTTTGACTTAGCTTCTGACTTTCCTGTGGGGTCTATGCTGACTTTGCGAGGATTCCCCAAGGTGACCAAAGCAGATGCGATGGCCAAACCTGCTGTAAAAATTCAAGAAAATTCCAATATTGATAACATGAATTTCTAAGGCAATTCTATTGCTAGTTAAGATAATCAAGATGAAACAATTTAATTCTCTGACGACTCTTCAAATTTCATTTCAATTTGTTTCTAGACTGACTTTAGACATTTTTTAAAATTCTGTCAGTTTTACCATCGCAATCTTTCTCTCTCAACAACATTCAACGGTTCCAACAATTTGGCATATGATTTGTTTCTTTGAAGTTTCATATACAACACTAGTAATTAATAATGCTAATCCAAAGAACATAAGAAAATCCAAAGAACTATTTACAAAAATAAATAGATCCATTTCATAGTCATAATTTATGGCAATTTTCAAACATATTTTTGAAATGAATTAACATACATTTCCAGTTTGTCCATGTTAATCCAATAAACAGTTTTCAAAGAACAAACAGACTAACTAAATGCTTTTGAATGCCACCACCAAAAGACAGGTGTTTGTAGGTGACCTAAAAAATATTGAGTTCTTGATATACTAGATCACAGCTAAACAATGATAAAGTGAAGCTCTAGTCATATAGATATAGCAAGTTAATCCTCAACCATATACAGGTGGGGCTAAAGCCTCAAATTACAAATGCCAACCTGACTTGCACAGGCAGAGTGAAAAACTTTCAAGGCAAGCTAAGAATACTGCTTCACGGAGAACTTCAGCTTTTTACAGCGATAAATCAGCTCTTTACATATTTTCACTTCAGTTACACTGTTTATATCTTACAACTAATTAATATTAATTTTGTTTCCCCCTTCCTGATTTAAACACATAAGTGGATTGTCAGAAGGCCTCAAAATTATGCCTTGTTTGATTTTCACATGAAATAAAATAAGCAGACCACAATAATATTTGTGAAATAATGATTGAAATATAATTTAAAAAATTAATTAAGGTATACTTTTACCAAATTGTTCTTTTTCATACTATTTTTATCATCTTTTCATAATCAAGATTTCCACCAACATTGATATTCCCAGATAGATCTGACTCATGTCATGGCCCTTTGAATTTGAAAAGCATATTTTGTTTTTTGGAGTTCATGACATGAAGACCCAACATTTCTCATTAATTTTTTTCTCTGTTAGAGCAAAATATGTTTTCATAGCTTAAAGAAATGGCAAATATTGCATTTTCATTGAACTTCTTCCTACAAATTACAATAATGATCAACATTTTTTTCATTAATGAAATTTGTTCATCAAAAACATCTTCAAATGAGGTAATGTTTAATTTTTCAAAATAAGAGTAGTTTTTGTGAGAAACAAACAATTGTTAAACAATATACTTTACTTTTTCATTGTTTAAACTCTCTCAATTACTTTCTCACAACCAGCTTCAAAGGAGGTGGTGGATTACGATAGGCAAAACTGCTCCCGGGGATAAAACCCTTTCTTATGTTGAAAATCATAATTGAAATTGTTTAAAAACAAACCAAGTTTTTTGTGTATTTAATATAATAACAAAAAAAAAAAAAAAAAAAAAAAAAAACAAAAAAAAAAAAAAAAAAAAAAAAAAAGTTTTGCATCTTTTTAATAAGTTAATTTTTTTAACCACATTATGCCAATGAATAATTGACTTCAATTATTCTTGCAGTTTTCAATAGATATACATGTTTTGAGCATATTTTCTGGTGTTTATGTTTGATTTTGACCCTTACAAAAAAGAAGGAAAAAAAAAACAAAACTTTATTCCTTTGTTTTTTAAGAATATCTCATGTTCTGACACAGTTCCTAAAAAGGGCTAAATACAAATTGTAGCCCTGTAAATTCTCTTTGGTTCTCCAAAGTTTCAACCTTTTAAGTTGAAACCGGCAGCTCAATATAAATAAAACAGTAATTTGATAATTTCTTATTTATTTTCTTAAAATTAGGATTTGTTTTAATAGTTTTTCAGTTCAAAGTTCATAAGAAAAGATAAATAATGAAAACAAAATATAAGAGTATAATTATAACCTATTTAAATATTGCCCGTATTAAGATTTGAACAAAATATAATGACTTTTTATACATTATCCTCCTTACCAGAATACAGTAGCTTTGATAATTTAATGATAATAACTCTTTAACTCTTTCTCTACTTGGCATGTGTGTGAAAATGAAAATGCCTTGAAATTAAGCAAACGTTCCATAAACAACAGTTTTCAAATCAAGTGTGTACTGCTACTACGATTTGTTTTCGATATAAAAATGTGTCTCACCACAAAAACGAATACGAGTTTCGGAAGGAACATTAGTTCAGAGTTTGAAAATCACAAGAAATAATATTTTTATGAAGCAATGGTTCGCTGAAAGACATTTCAATTAATTCTATTTCCACATCTCTTTAGCTTGTACAGTGGAAGATGGATCGTTGTTACTTGATTGAGATGATGGTTCTAATATCAACAGAGATTCTGACAGTTCATATAGACAATTCTGCTTCTTACAGCTTTCTGAAACTTGCTAAATGGAAGTAGATGATAAACAATCTACGTCCTTCAAAGTCTGTGAAGTAGATGTGGTGTGTGTGACATTGTCATAGATGTGGGTGGCATACTTTTTGCATCTAGTGACATCAAACCAGATGATGTGAGTATAAAATATTGCGCTTAATAGGTACACGGTAAATCTGCACATTGCAATGAAGAACCAAATGGCTTGTTTTGAAAATCTGCTGGCTAAATCAAAAGCATGGGTGAGTGCATTATGTAGTGACTACATATCGTATATTTTAACAACATTACAAATAACATTTAATATTATTTTTAAAATTTTTCTATTTTGTTAGAAACTCATATTATTTTTAGTTGAAATTTAAATGCATTCAATATTCAAATTATAATAGGCTATAATTATATTCTTACAATTTTGTTTCTCAGGATTTATATTTTCTAATAAACATCAAACAGAAAAACTAATAAAACAAAACATAATTTTAAAAAAGAAATAAGAAAGTATTAAATTACCGTTTTATTTATATTGAGCTGTCGGGTGCAACTTACAAGATAAAAAGGTTGAAATTTTATGAAATTAAAGAGTATTTACAGGGTTACAGTTTGTATTTAACCCCTTCTATGATCTGTGTCAGAACATGAGGTACTTGTAAAAAATGAGGGAATAAAGACCTTTTTCTACTTTCTCCTTCCGTTTTGTAAGGGTCAAAATCAGACATAGACACCTGCAAAATTCTCGAAAAATCTGTAGAAAACCGCAAGGAAAATGGAAGTCAATATTTGTCAGCGTAATGAGGTTACAAAAATTTAATTTGTAGGAAGTACTCCGGGTAAATTGATTTAAATCTGTTGAAAAATGTGTTTTATTTTACTCTTCAATTAAGATTTTCAACATAAAAAATTTTTAGCCCTAGAGGCAGTTTTGCATGTAATAATTCTCTACCCCTTTTCATCGAATGTAGCAAAGAACAGTAAAAGAAAGTGGCATGGGACCAATTTTTGGCGCACTCTCTGTATTTTTGGAAATTGAAAACAAACTAGTGGGGCTAGAAAATGGCACAGTAGTATGCAGTATGGAGCGTGAGTAGTTTATTGAGGTTTTTTGATATATAAATGTGTTTAGAACTGAATTTGCAACAGCAAGGTGTGAAATAAATGAGAGGTGAGTTACAATATGTTTCATAAACGTGAAAGTCAAAAGTGAAGTAAGCTACGGATATCAGATGAATTTTCTGATTTAACAGGTTAATTCAATTACCACACTTTGACAGAATTTGTTTCTCAAAATTATTATTGAATGAATCATTGTGACAACGTAATAAAACTTAGAGAACATTATCAATATCCACTCCATAAATTACATAATGCAAATTTGAAGTATTTTGAATACCCCTTCTCCCCTTTGAAATGCACCCATAATAAACTCTTCAATCTCCCCCTAAATAATTTCATAATGCTTGCAACAACACCCTTGTAAATGCAAGAAATGAAAATAATTTATAGCACAATAGAAAATATTTATACTCGTTTCACTTGTGTATTAAAATTAATGATAATTAAAGCAGAAATTAATTAGTGATGTTTACAGCACCTAACAATAAGATTGGGGCCAGTTGTGGATGAAGGAAGGCCACATAGATAAATGTTTTTATCAGAAGCTGTGCACAAGACTCGCTGTTGTGGATTACGTTTGAGTGAGAGTTTACTGCGCCAATTTAAATGGATTCTAGAATGTACTACATATCACTTTTGAATATTTTATTTGTATTGTTGCAGATTCAATAAAAAATGAATTCAATGAAGAGTTTTCCGTTGAAAAATTGCTGTTTTCCGGTGCACAATAGCAAATGAAAAAAGAGCAATAATTATGTTTCACAAATTTTATCATTTCAGATGTGACAAGGGTGTGCAGACAATTATGTTGCGTGTTGCAATAAGCAAATTCTGAGAGCTAATAACAAAAAAATCTTTACCTGACTGTCCTGGAGGTGTGAACACTTCCCCACCAGTAGGCATCCGAACTAGTAAGGAGAGTACTGCAGCTCGATTGCCGCAACACGGTTCCAGAGCAATTGGACTAGGAGAATCCTGTCAGAGGTGAGATCATTTCAACTTATTAATTATGAACAATTTACAAGAAAGAGAATGCTATTACCAGCTTACAATTCTACTTCAGTGAACATGTATATTATTTTTCATAAATTTAAAAACCAGGAGAGAGACACGCCATTATATTAGGTAGTAATAAGAACCCTTCACATTTTTGTGAAATAATTCTTCCCATACACATTGAATAACGGGCTGACTAAGCCATATAGGAATGATTGGCTTTTGAGACCAAAAGATTTATTCTGTTGTAGTTTTTATAAGTCGCTCTAACAAGTTTGGTAGCAACATAAAAGTACTGAGGAACAACCCGGTAATAAGCATAGAAAACAAAATGGAAGAACTAGTTAAACCACTAAATCTGAAAGGACGAGTGCCTCTTAGTTATCCGCGTTGAAGGCAGTGATTCTCGACTTCTGCGAGACCATCTAGAGCTGTTTGATCTTCCTCTATGGCGTTGTCTGACGGATGATATGCGTTCGGTGCTAAGAGTAAAATACGCGGTGTTGGTACGCGCGGGGAATCTTGGCATTAGATACCAGCGACTAAATCAGAGGATCGTTAGCACTAGTCGAGGAAGGGGGTCGAAACGACCAAAGCAGCACGAGGTCGGAGTCGTCGGAGCGTAGAGCGAGGCAGAGAAACGGGCGGGCACTCGCGTGTCAGCCCGTAGTAATGGTCGCGAGGCGTCATGAAGGCGTCGCCGTGGATGTGTCCATGGCTTGCTTCCTTCCTCCTTCTGGGCCACCACTGATCCTCTCTATCGAGCACCCTCGTATCTTCGAACAGGAAATCATGTCCCGTTTCTTACGCAACAGGGGGCACTGAACATTTCTGTTTGAAGTGGCGAATATGCTCCCGTAGCCTTTCTTCTACTGTTTTGCCGGTTTGGTTGATGTAGTTGCGACCACAGCTGCATGGTACGGCGTAAACTGCCGTTTAGAACGGCGGAGGCTGGTCCTTAACTCACACCAAGGTTTCGCTGAACTTCTGGTGGACCACACTGACCGTCTTTAGCTGGAATTATCTCAGCAGCTTGTCAATCTTTGTCTTTGAAACCCCGGATGTAAGGGAGTGCAACTGTTGCCTTGGCTTTGGTTTCCGTGGTGCGATTTCTCTGCCGGCACGTGGTGCGCCAGTTGTGCGTGTGTCGATAATGGGTCGACAGTATCCGTTTGCAGAGAATGTCTGCAAGTATTTTTCGCCGCAGGTGGTGGTGGTGGTTGTGGAGGTAGTGGTGCGATTCTGCGTGGAGGGAGCGGTCAGTGTGAGTAGATTTCCTCTAGACCGCGTGTCTCAGGCCACCGTGACGTCGAGGAAAGGCAATCAGCCATCCCTTTCCATCTCCATGGTGATCTTGATTTTGGACAAGAGCGCTGTTGAGGTAGTTCTGAAGGGTGCTCAGTCCGTGGGGCCATATCACGAACGCGTCGCCCACATATCAGAACCAGGTGGAGGGTTTCAGGCGGGCGTTTTCTAGTCCATCATGTTTTAGCACCGCCACGAAGAGGTTGGCGGCTATCGGCGCGAGGGATGTCTGCGCTTTCTCCCTCAGCACTCAAGCTGACCCGGGACTGGAAGGTGGAAGATGGAATTGGACTCGTTGGGGAGGTCGACCCATTCTGTAGGGAGTATGCGGGCGGGCTTCTAGTTCGTTGCGGATGACTGTGACTGCCTCTTCAACCGGGACCTCGGTGAAGATTAATATAAGGTCAAAACTGACCAGGATGTCCGTACTTTTCAACCGCCTATCTTGAAGTATGCCGATGAAGTGACTGGAGATCCGACGCACTATCTTGTCTGAGGGCGTAGTTTGTCGGCGATGTGTGGGGACTTTACCGCGCTCCCTCGTCAGCCTAATGGATCTTGGGTAGCCCGCACAGCTGTGGTATGGCGCTGTTGTCCCACCTAGGTTTAATTTCGGGTTCGATGGCCCGTGTGGGGTTGTTGACCTGTGCAGTGACTTCTCGAAGTTGCCGAACTGGGTTATCCTGGAGCGGGGCATAGGCAGGATGGCCACCTTGTACTCCCGCATCTTAGTGACGATGGTATGGTTGCCTTTGTCCGCGGGTGGGATGACGACATCGCGCAGGCGTACGGTGCCCAGAGCAAAGTGTTCTTGTCAGGAAAGGTTGCAAAGTAGCTTGCCCCAGAATCCGAGCGGTCTCTCCCCGGATTTGATCTAGCTCCTACTCAGACAGGGAAGTGATGGCGCACTCGATCCCTGCGGCAATGTCCGATTATATCGGTATATGAACCCAAGCGCCCAGCATTCCGGCTCAGATCAACACGGAGGAAGACCACGGCAAGGTGGTCGAAACGTTGACATCACAGCTTCGACGCGGCGTCCGTCAAGGACAATCGCAAGACCCGTCGGCTCCATTAACCGAATTGCTCAACGACACTCCATGAAGTCACGGGAGTAAAGCAATTCAACACACGACGGATTTCTAAACGATTGTCCGTCTGGGGAACGTCGGTTACAAATGACACCGAGCCCCTGGCCGAGGGGAAAAAGATACTGACGTGACAGCAACTTGATGGAACTTGACGAAAATAAAACATAACGGAGAATTACTTCAAGCGCTCAATGCCCAACAAGGGTTTAGAGACACGCTGCATCGACGAAGACGCAATGAAACAAACTACCCTACACTGAAGTACGTTCCTTCTTCACTACACTGAAGTACATTCTTACAAGGTTGGCTAATGTAACAACAATATCAATCAAAGTATTTGGTTGGAATAGATATGTGTGTACGTTGGAAGTAAAGAAGGCAGTGATAAAAGCAGAAAGGAAGAAAGCACAAGATACAGATGATGATTTGTGATGAAGTAAACTTATTAATAATGGCATATGCGTTTTCACTGACATTGAAATTACAACAAAAATTAGTGAGAAAACTGACAGGACCATAGTGCTTAACACTGTGCACTCATAGGCACTAAGGCTGAAATATGCTCTACATATCAGAAGGTCAGAGAGATACAGTACAGTCAACGGCAGCCAGCTTGAAGTTTTTCACACAATGAAAGCTGTTCAGGTTGAATGAAGTTTCAGAAAACTACACCAAATCTCTCAGTGGGTTGGAAGGCATCTGACAGTACAATTCAATTCAGTTTTATTGACAGACAATTAAATACAAATAGTTAGAAACTATCTGCTGAAGAACAATTTCCAGTATACAGAAATTAATAATGCGATACAGAGAAGGTATCTCTGTTTTTCATTATTGTTGTTATCATTTTCATGAAATATTTCCTCTAGCTAATAATAATGAGGTTCTCAAGTAAGTTGGGAGGGCAGGTTTGTATTCTGATATTTATCTGCCATTTTGCAATGTCTATTGTTCCATTGAAGTCAATGTCTAGTCGTTCAGTTATTTTTTCCTACAGTCTGTTGATCGACGGAAGGAATCCAAACTAAATTTGTATTTATTTATTAAGTTGTGGTTGTTGTTTTCTTGTTGCTGTTTTGAGCAATATAATACGTGTATAAAACTGAAGTAGTTCCAAATTCAAGACATTTATCATCTTATTCCACTTCAGTAGAAATATTGAACCCTACATTTTCATATATTTCTGTTTTTTCCTATTTTTGTATAATGAGATGCATAATGTTATCAAAGAATCATTCTAAAAATTGATATAACTTAAATTATCCTTTACAAGCCATTACACTGGGCTACACAACAAGCACATCACTTAGCCCACACATTATGTTAATACAGTGCACTCAGGAAGTTGTCTGACAAAAATGGAGGGAATATGAAGAGATGATAATGTTGAAAAGACATATGTTCGTGGTAAGAATAATAAGCAACCTTACTACTCAGGTTTGCTCATGTAATTATACTTCAATTTAATTACAGAGTCCGTTGACTTTTAATCATATTGGGTGTCATCCCATCGGGAGCTTAAATGTCACTACTGTAGGTGTCATCCAAGCTACCGATTGGATGACATTGTAACAGATGATTTATGTCAACGGACTGTATGTTTAAATCGAAGTTTAGCTGCCTGCACTTAGGGAACTTTCAGGCATCCCCCACCCCATATTTCTCATTGACAGCTCAAAAGTTGAAATATTAAGATAAATAGCAGGTGTAGACATCACCCTTTGTTATGCAACATATGAATCTGAGCACAAGACTTCTGTAACACAAACTCAACAGAGGAATGTTTTGAAGAGTTTCATACCAATAAGATGTTAAAGAAACAATAGTAACACAATTAATGTATGCACTGATATATTATTGTATATATTTTTTATTAAAATTTATTCTTGTTTACTTTGTTTTTTATTACATTTAAATTTCCTGACAAACTGATGAAGCATATAAAAAATATATTTTGTAAAGATATCTTAAAGGTAGAATGTTTACATCAATAAAATATAATATTTCAACTTTTCAGTTTAATCCTGATATTAACTAGATTTTTAAATTCAAACCAGAAAAAGTACAATACACATCAATGGCACCTTTCTCCTGCTGTCTGCTAAACAATGGGTGGACTGTCGGAGTACACTGGGTCGTAGCTACCTACCTATCTGGGGAGCCATTTTCCTCTGAGGCACATCATCGAAGATGTAGGGAATGCAAGTGGTAGTGTGCCTCTGATCTCAAAAGATGTTATGTCATCTCTAAAGTGCCTTCTGAATGAAAAAAAATTACTATAGAAATGTTTTTGGTGAGAAACAAACCTTTTTCCGTTTTCTTAGGGTTGTGGTGGTATCAACTGAAACATCAATTTTTTCTCTCTGTTCAATTTCTACCAGTACTTGGGAGAAGGGTCGACTTGCCATCTGCTCCATCTCCACAAACAGTCTCTGTGAAGGATGAGAATGCGGTTATTACAACAAACATAATCAAACACTAATGGTTCAATGAAGATGTATTAAAATATCACTTAACTGAGTTACACAATATCAATAATTTTCTCATCAATTTAATTGACAATGGTAATTGAAGCAAGAGAATTCATGTTGTAATCTACTAATTTTTAATTTAATCATTTAAAGTACTGAATGTCATATTTGAGGTGTCATTTTAGAATTTATATTGATTCAAAAATTAAAAAAATGAGTTTATGCATGTTTCAAGAGTCTAAAATAAAACAAAAAAATGTATCCAATACTCTTTCTCTGTACATTTGAGCTAGCAACCCCTTAAAAACATGTGTTTCATGCAAATCTCTTGAACGGTTTAGGCGCTAGTGTTAACCACAGGTAGACAGATGGACAAACATAAAGACAGGCAGAAGTCTTGCCATCAATAGATTTTTCAGTATTAAGGACCCATAAAGCATGGATCCTGACTACAGAATGTGTTTGAGTGAGTAATTTTGTAAGGAACAAAATTTATCCACATTTTCATTACCAGCATCCAACAATGCATTTTTCTGCAAGTAAAAATATGGAAAAGTTGCATATCACAATGCTTAATAGCAAGTACTTAATGGTGAACTGCTTCTTTCTTGGAGCCTTGCATTATGGCAGCTATGCCTTAAGCATACACTGATTATGAGAATTTTGTAGGTATGCTCAGCATGAAAATATGTAGAATAGCAGAATCAAGTATTTGCATTTTTCAGACAAAATTGTAACTGATTTATTGTGTATCTGACACAACTATAGGTAGTTCTTACATGGCAAAAATCTACATAAGTTTTATTTCAATTTCTGTGAGCATTAGAAATTAGTAATGCAGAGGTTTTGGTATTGTTTTCCTTGAGCTCTAATGATTCCCTGAGCCTAGGTATCTAATGAAACCACAGACATGTCTCACATGGCCAGAGCCTGCAGATTTTTGTTCACTTTCTGCGAGCATAAGAAATTCGTAATATAGATGTTTTGGCGTTTTCTCTGAGTTGCCAAGTATCTAATGAATACATAGGCATCTTACATGGCCAGAGGCTGCTCAATTTCTAAGTGCACTGGAAATTAGTAATATAAATAACCAACATACTAAAATACATTTAAATTCTATTTTTATAATATTAAAATAAATTTAAATTCAAATAAATTTGTGAGAACACTTACACTTTTTATTAGTTTTGATAATTTGATTCATATCAATTTTTTGTTTTCAAATTGTTAAAATAAATATTTATTTTGCTATGTTAATTGCATAATTTATAGTTATTAAGCATAAAGTTATTGCATAATTTTTAGTTCCAATGAAGTACCAGTATACTGTGTTTTTAAATAATGATTATAATCTGACAGTTCTACTTCAGTTTCACCATATATACCTTCTTAAAAATTAAAAAGCTTTTCTGTTTCTCCTACCTCAAGTGATTTTGTTTCTTAAAATACTTTGGGATCGGAAGATTTCTCCTATGATCACTATTTTTGCTTAAAAACAGATATGAATGAGAAATTAAGTCGTGCCATATATACATTTACGAGGCTGTCCTGGTGACGCCGCATCCATGGCGAAGGTGCCGACGTTTCGGCCGCAATTCTGCGACCTTCGGAAGGTCGCAGAATTGCGGCCGAAACGTCAGCACCTTCGCCATGGACGCGGCTTCACCCGGACAGCCTAGTAAATACTGACTCCGGCCGCGGAAGCCTACGCTCTCACCTGCCATATATGTTTTAAAGATAACTATACAAGTATTGTAATTTTATAACATGTAATGTAGTAATAAAAACGGAAAAAAATTTTTAATCATCATACCCATTACGAAACAAAGTAATTTAAGATTAGAATTCTGAACATTTTGAAAAATTTTCAGAATATAACCTTAAGATACTATACTTGTATATATTTAAAGAAAATCACAAACTTAGTTTTAAAAATAAAATAAAATTAGGGACTTGTAATGTTGGTTGTAATTTGATTTTGGATTTTCTTAGGCATAAATTCCACTTTGAATTCTAACCTAAATATTTTCACATATTTAAATTTTTATAACTTACTCCTTCCAGACAAATAATTGAAAATAATTTATAAACTGAACTTACTTGTCTCCTCCGATACATATCATATTTCTGTTTTATTTTCCACAAAATAGCAGCAACAAGCAACAATAACAAGAAGCATCTGGAATGGAAACTGTGCTTATTATATACAGGCACTCCTGAATGACATAAATGCAAATGATTTTTAGGTAATTGTAAGCAAAAATCCTTCAAATTTAGAATCATCAATACCAACTTACGTAGAAAACGTAATGAAGAATTGTTGGAGGTTGAGTTTTGGATACTGAGAAAATGATATCTGAATCCATAGTGGTGGATGGAAGTCATAAACATAAACATAGAAAGTTGTTAATGTAATGTTTTCATCTACACCAAATATATGATCAGCCTTTGAAAAGCGTGTCCGGTATGTAGAACAATTGAAAGCTGTTAGGAAGTCCTTTTCTAACGAGTTTGCTTCAAGAAGAGAAAAGAGAAAAAAGGTCATATACATTTTACCACTTAATAATTTCAATTTATAAATAAAAAACAATCTACTTACGCTTCTTTATAGTAATATTCATTTTGGCAGTCACTGAACACATAATGCTGAATTCAGCATCAATATCTGCTTTGGTGGGGCTATTTTTAAAATTTATTTGAGTATAATGCCTGTCTTCTTTTTTTGAAAGGTTGAAAGTGAATTGATAATCTATTGTCAAATCATCTGCAAAATAAAATATGAGTTATGCAGATGGTGAAAAAAATGTTATCATTAGATTTTTTATAACTGATGTAAGGCATTCAAAATACATACAAAAACAAGAACCACGAGATTGCACAGTTGTTCCAGCTGTTGTAACTCTAGTTACAGTTATTGTTGGATCACCATGGTAATGATTCTGTGTATCACATCTCTCACAGTGATCTCCCACAATACCTTTGGTAGTACAGAAACACTTGCCACTTTCGGGGTGACATTCTGTCCCTTGGTCGTTACACTCGCAAGCTACAAATTTAATAAATATTATGAGCAAGGCAATAACCCCAAAATAAAGTGTAAAAAATTTTAATAAGCAAAAGGCTTACGATTGCATTTGCCTCCATTTATAGGACTTCCATAGTAGCCAACAGCACAGTTCTCACAGTGGGGACCATGAGTTAAGTTAGCACAAGGTTGATGGCAGGTGTTCGTGTCATTTATACAAGTACTATGCCCATTACATTGACATACTGCAAACATATTGCATCACCAAAAAGTTAAATAATGCAGTGCATGATTAAGAAACAGAGCAAGTACCTCTAGATTTGCAAACTTTCTAATTTTCATTATCAAGCTGCCTTAAATAGGAGTTCAAATTCACAGACAACGTCATGAACACAATTGGGAAAACAAATAATACTCACATGGACACCCAGTGAAAAACCAACGCTTTGACGGGCAAGGATCTTTGGTGCTTGGTCCATTATTTCCACCAGGCATGCAAGCTCCAAGGCCAGTACCAGATCCATCATCACACCACCCACAAGCAGGATCTTCTCGACATGTTTCACAAGTGGTATATACACTGCACTGTGATTTGCCTAAGGAAAAATATAAAAACAATAATTCAGACAGTAATAATCTGAAAGCAATGTTGATTAATTAAAGACTACATATGAATGTGTGAAAACCAAAATGGTGACATTTCTCAATTTCTTGAAAAAAATTGATTATTTTAAGTGAAAATAAATTTTTATGGTTTTAATGAACAATTGAAATGCCTTATTTTAATGATGTAATAAAGCACCATAACTTTACAGTGATATTGACTTAAATAAACCAATTTCACAGAATTTATAAAATGTCACTTATACCGTTCTGGTTTTCACACATTCATATATAATAAAAACACATAAAAATCAAACAAGAAATATCAGTGAAATTGAATTATTATTATTAATTATTATTATGGAAGTTATCTGTTTACAATACAAATTTTAAAATACAAATTTGAAATTCAGTTTAGGACCATTGTATGACAGAATATACAATACACTCCAGTAACACTGAACCTCTAGGGACCAGTATTTTTGGTTCATGGCATATCGATTATATCCGAAAATGCCAAAACAAAATAGTTTTCCCCACAACGACTGATATTGCTTTTTTGAAGCTTGAGTAAAGATCATAACACAGCAAATTCTAAGTTATATATATTTATGCAGCCTCAAAATTAAATTTGCTATTAATGTTTCATTTGTATAGATTTGCAAAAAAGTTTTCAGATCATTCTAAGAGTCTGTGTTCTCACCATGTTAAGTTGTCAGGATTAAAATATATAGGTGCTGTTAACCCATTAAGAACCAAGCATTGAAATAATATTTTTTAAATAATATTATGTATTTATTCTAATATTACACTAGAAAGGATAAAAAACTAATTTATAATTTTTTTAAACCAGTAGTCATTGTACAACAAAATGTTGTTTAAAGGCAACTTTGGGACCCTGGGAGTTGAAAATTGCACAGTCAATCAACTTTACTTCTACTTCTTTTCCCTTCAGAAGATCATCTATATTTTTCTTTTCATGCATAGCATCAATTGTATTTCCAGAAATAAGATCAACATCTTCTTCCAGAAATAAGATCAGCAGTTAATAGAGGCCTTTATATTCTTCTATCATTCCCGAAATATGCAGAATTTGTGAAGAAGATAAATAATTACGCTTGAAGCGTTGTTTATACAATGATGCAACAATGCACGATAAGACAGAATCTACAAGATGAGATAATTATATAAAGAAAGAAAATATGAAACAGTAGTTACATATCAATTCCTCAACGATTACATTCCAACTGCATTTGTTCTATCATGTTCAGACCATATACCCCCCTAATCCCAACATTGCATGAATGTAACATTATTGTAAATTATCAATAAGCTACATAAGCACTTATCTATATAATAAATATTCTGAAATGATAAAAGAAAGTTCAAGCCAGATTGTCAAGTAATGTACAATAAAAAATGTATTGTTTAATAATTAAATTAAATATTGAATATCGATATCACAATTCACTACATTTTCTCAAAGTTTCAAAATTCAACAAAGCCAAATTTACACTCGGATATCAATGATAAGTACAAAACCTGATCAAATAGTATTTCTTCTTAGAGCGATTGTGATACAGAACAAATTTATATCAAATCATTTTTCTAAACAAAAAATGTATATTTTCATTGTATTTATGATGTTCTGGGATTTCACTAGTTTTCATCTCACAGTCTGCATCTTTTAGACTCAATGCCTTAGAAGAGTTGAAATAAGTTTCTCAGCCCCTTTCATATGCTGAAACGCTACAAAAATAAATCACAAGACCCTCTGCCAGCAAACCAGTTATTTGAATTTGCGGTCTTGTGTCAAAGTTTGTTTTCCTGGAAGTTGTATTTATGTTCACTTCAGCCAATATGGGGAGTTCACAACAACTGAATTATCTCTGTCTTTATTAGATTGTGGTTCCGAATGAATGATTCTGAGTCTCCATAACCGAAAGTTCACTATATCCAGGGTTAACTGTACATTAAGAACTGAAATTTTTTAAAATAGATAACATGAAAATTAAGATGTCAAGAAGCTACTATGCTTAATATTAATAAATCCAATATCTATGTGTTTGCAAAGAGCAATGTTTTTTAAAATTCTGGTGTCCTAAAGAGTATAAAAAGTAATTTTGTTTATATTTACCTTTGACAGGAGTTCGACACCTTGTACTATGAGTTGTCCATTCACGACACTGACCATAAGGAAAAGAAGCAGTATATGCATTTTTATCTACACATCTTTCTTCATTCTGACACCAGATGCATTCTTCCACAGTGCAATTTTGGCAGGAAGTCAGTTCTGCACAATTCGGAGGACAAGCACCAGTCTCCTATGAAGTGGACATTTTTTTTAACCTTGACAAATTTGTTACTCACAGACCACCCTCCAAAAAAAGAAGAAACTTGTGAATATATCTTACATGTGGTTCTCCCACAGTTACGTTGCCAATAGGTTTGCAGCGCAGAGCCTCGTAGTCCCAATGACACTGAGGTTGCAGTCCACAGGCAGGACAACTATGAAGTTGATGGCATACAGACCCTTCATTGGGCTCACATTGCTCCAAGGAAACAATAGGTATAATCTGAAAAAATAAAAAGGTTCAGCATATTACCAGAATTGTAAGGTGAAATAACTTGTGTTGATATTGTAAAAGAATCTTTGATGCTGTGTCAGGTAATTATGATTTTTGACTCCTTTAATACCACTGCTATTGGTGAAAAGTATCATCAACTCACAATCAGTTTACAATTATAATCACACCAAACACGGAGAAGCACTGAATAGAGGACAGTTTGCATGAAAACTGAGAAAAAGCAAATAAGGTAGCAGTACTTATAAATGCTTCAACTGAAAATAAGAAAACTTGTCAAGTCTAAGAAAAAATCAAAACTGAACAACTAACATTATCCTGAAGAAAATTACCCGGTTAAAAATTACCACACAATTTTTGTACACACTACTGAATAAAAAAATGCCTTTAGATGTCTATTTACTAAAAACTACTGCAATTTTATTTTCTCATGCAGAGGAAATATGATAATGATACAGGAAAAAGTGACTCTCTTTTTCTCTATAAAAAAATGTTTTGTGAGCCATGTTACCAACATAAATTTTTCTTGTTCCTGTAAGTTGTATATTAATTTCTCATGTATGTAATATAGTCACAATCTGCAATTTGGGAGTCTCTGATATCGATTGGTGAGTTGAACACATCAACTGCTATAGTCATTAATCCTACAAGTGATGAGTATGTTATATAAAGGGAGGTGGCAGTGTTTCCCTGCTAGAAAGTGAGAACTGAAGCCATCCTACACATTGGCTTGCGAGAGTTACTCTTTCAGGTTTCTCTGCCAGTGAAACACAGCTCCTGACATGTGCAGTAGTGTACTGCATGTAAGTGTATGTGTGCATAGGAGAGGAAGGGACAAGGATGAGGTAGGAAAGACCACGGGCATTCCCTGGCCTCTTTGCCTAGGTACAGCGATGACACTTGCTTGGTACTGACAAGAAAAACCACAGAGCAGCCAGCCATTAGAATTCTCCTTCAGACAGTCTTTGACCTAGCTATCTAGGTAGTATTGAAAACCTACTACCCTTGGGACTCACACTCCTGGTCAGAGTTACTGCACTGGCAACCAATAGTTGTTGCCATGACCTAATTTGGCCAGTGCCTCCTTGATAATAAAAAAAATGTTTTTTTTCTCAAATTGTCAGTCTGTGAACAACACTAGCATATAAATGGTCCAGCAGGATTTTTATCAAAATGGATACTCCCTGATCAATCTGGGCATTATTTACAGTTTCTTTATTGCAAAGAATATTCGTATCACCTGCAAAAACAACCGATTCTTCTGTTTCTAATTGTTGAGGGCATGTCATTTACCTTGACAAGGAAGAAAACAGAGCCTAAAATTGATCCCTGCGGGACTCCATGGGCATTTGGCAATGAATCAGAAAGGTGTATATATAATGTCCCATCATTCCAGTACGGTGTTTCAACTCTCTGACATCGTTGTTTAAGATATGAACATAACCAATCTAGATTAATACCACAAATTCCATATGAAGATAATTTTGAAAGTAAAACATTTTGAAGAATGATCTCAAAAGCTTTTGAAAGATCTAAAAATATTCCAATAGGTGATTTGTTTTGATCCAAGGATGAAGCAACATCTTTACGAAAAGAAAATATGGCTGTTTCCAAAGATTTTGATTTTCTAAATTTATGATGGCAATCTGAAAACTCATGTTTATTGAAAAAGATTTCCGTTCGTAAATAAAAAAAGTCTCCAATAAGTTTGATAAACTGACAAAAGGGAAATTGGCCAATAATTTTGAATTTCATTTATATTGCCTTTAGTGAAGAGAGGCTTAATCTTAGCTGTTTTGAAAATATCAAGAACAGTGCCTTTAATGCATAAGAAAGCTTTAAACATGTGAGTTAATGGGTGTACAATGGCAGGTGCACAAGCCTTTATCAAACACTACGGAAATTCATCTAAACTGGCTGAATATTTATATTTTTATTTTACGAATATTTTGAGAATTTCATAGGAAGAAGACACACATGACACACATAGAAGTTCAGACACTGAAACAACAACATAAAATGCGTTTCCATAAGTAATTTGACCAATCAATTTTACCAATCAGCAAACTAAGAGAAACACATTAATTTGGTAAATGCTACACTTAAGTCCCAACTCAGTCAGAAACATAATTGAAGAAAAACTTTGGTTAAGTTTTGCCATACAGCTTAAAAAAGTATTAAAAATCAATGAAAAATCAGAAAAAGTCTAAAAACTATAAAGGAACTAGTGGTGATACAGAATGGCAAAGACTTTCTGCACAAGCCCGTTTCCTTTTCTCTGTAGTTGAGGCTAACTTATCAATATTGCCCCACCCTCTTCTCAGCTTCTATCTATTGGCACTTAAAAGACATTTTTTCACAGTTTCTCAAATTATATTCATCCCTAATAGTAGAACTGAAATATGATGAAGTATATTATAAAATAGTAAAACCTGATCCTATACGTGGATTTTCACTGAAAAATTTGGGGATATTTTTCAGGAAGTGTTAGAGAGATTTTGAAAATGTGCAATTTAAAGCTCAGTTTTTTCCAAAATTTTCGTATTTCATCATAAGAAACAATTTCAAGCACTTGTACTCACACATACAATAACATATCAGAAATGCCCATAATGTAAATATGCCCATAGTAAGAAATGCCCATAGTGAAAGATATTTTAAAAATTAACATTTGAGTAATTTTTGAAAAGAATACATGAAAATGACATTTATAATAGTACGTTATTCAATTTGTTTAACATGAAAATAAATAAATAAATAAAAACAGCCATTTGCATTTGGGTGTTTCTGAAAATGTACAATTTAGAGCTAATTTTCACAGAAAACTCCTGAGTTTTCGAGAAACATGAAATCCTTTGAAGCGCTCTGACAAATGCTATAATTTACACAAAGTAAACGGTATTGCAAATATTAATAACTTGAGAGAGTTATTTTAAAAAATTTACATTTGTATCATTGTTTGGAAAATTAATCAATATATCAAAATTTCGTTTATGTTATGTTATTGAGTGCATTTAGCATTATCCACACAGCAAGCTTAAAGAAATAAAAATTGAAGCTTTTTTGACAAAATCTTGTTTCTAACATTTTTAATACTGCCCTTGTTTTACTTCAGTTACGCTAAAAATACTAATATTTTCAAAAATAGTTGACAATAATTAAAGAACTAAATGAGTAAAAAAACAATTTATAGGAGAAAAAATCTCTATCTTGAATACTGGGATTGTAGGAAGATTTTGAAAAATTCAAACTTTCGTATTTTTTTTAAATTTCAGAGTTAACAGTGAAAATCAGATCTATGCCGTCTTCATAAATGTAATTTGCTCCATTCTTACAAGAGACTTGAACAAAAAATTTGGAGCCATTTAGAAGAAATTTTGAAAATATCCCCAGGGCTTCATGTGTGAAGAACACTCTAAATGAAAATAACCTTTTCTCAAAATCACAGGGTTTTGAGCCAGTTAAGATTGTAGGGGGAGTGTAAAAGCAAAATTCCCACAAGTAGTTTCAGCACAAGTATTGTTCACAGACAGATGTTTTGGGAGAAAAAACAACACCTTCTTCGGCATTGTGCATTTCCATTGAAATATCGAAAATGATTTTTCATGGCTCTTTATAACTTTCTCTATTCTATATATATTACTCCATCAATTTGTAAGTACATGAGATAGTAAAAATTGATAATACCTCCCAGTAAACTTCTATTAAATGAAAGCCTAAATGTTAAAACTTAATGATGACTGTAAGTATTAGTAACAGCAATTTAACCAGACAAGATCCACTTACCCCTTTTTTTCTTTCTTTCTCTCCCCTTCCTCGACATTTCCCTCCCACCCACATACATTTGGACGATGTCTGCACACAAGAGCGGCAATCTGGTTCTTTAATGCATATTTCAGAAGATATTCTGGGATCACTGGAACATTTTCTGTTGAAAAGTCACAAAAATATCAAATATACAGAAATCTTGACGCCATTATTGAATAGTAATAGAATAGATTTAATTTGTGTATGAAAGTTGAATAATTAAATATATACACACACTAAATCTCCATAAGTTGATGGTAGAGGGACACAGCGCTCATTGTCCATTTCCCATGCACATTTTATACCTGGTCTAAAACGAACACATTCCACATCTGATGAGAGGCTTTGGCATTTTCCCGGAGTGTACCTGTCAATTAATTTCAGTTACAAATACACAGAACAGAAAAGAATAAAAAATAATAAAAGATATTTTATTACTTACTTCAGCATATCAGACAACATTTGTCCATCAAAGCCTCCAAATATATACAAAGAGTCTTCAAATGTTACTGCAGAATGCCCAAACCGAGCCAAATCTGCCCGTAGATCAGAAGGAATATTAATGGTACTCCACTGATCACATGCTACATCATAAGCCAGCATGTCAGATGAATAACATTTTGCTCCTTGACTGTGCGAGGTATCATTATGAGTATTTCCACCAAAAACCAGCATAAGTCCCCCAGAAACAAATGTAGCAGAGTGTAGGAAGCGGGCAGATGGAGCAGGAGTCAACAATGTCCTAAAATTGAAAATGTTTAAATTAGTATCAATTTAAAGAATAACATTTCTTCTCACTCATTTAAACAAATACTCACCATATTCTTGATATAGGGTCATATGAATAAAGCCTATTACTTAATGCTGATGTAGCTGAACTCTCCGAAATGAAACCACCATAAACATAAATAAATTTTGTATAAGGATCAAGAGCACTACTGTGACCATATCCACCTTTGATGGGGTATCCTCTTGTTGATACCACATTCCATTTACGAGTACCTAGAAAAAAGTCCAATTCAACATTAGAATAAATTAAACATGAAAAAAAATGACAACACTTTTTCATAAAACTGATTCTTGTTTAGTTCATTTTCATAATGAGGTTTTCATCATCATTAAAATAAAATAAAATTACCAAACTGATATTCTTGAACCGTATTAAGGTAACCATATTGCGGAGAATGTCCAAAAATAACAACCATCTTGTCATCCCCATCACGACTTGTAACTAAAGTTGCAGTATGACCGGCAACTCTCAGTGGTCCACACAGTAAAGAAATGTTTGTGCCTGTTGAATTGCATGGCTCTGTTCTCACTGTTATGTTCTCCCAAGTTTTGGCATTTACATCAAATGCCCATAACTCAGCAGAAACCATAGAGATCGAGCCATTTTTTGAAACACCACCATACATATAGATTTTATCCTGAAAAAATGTAAATAAACTTTGGTTAAGTAATTTAATAATTTTCTCTTGAATAACTGGCTTACTCCTTTTGTACAAATTCTTTCATTCTTTACACTAAGATTATATTGAAGTCTAGTAATGTTGGTGTAAAAATAATTATTGTGAATTAAAAAATTGTTTTTGATACATAAACAGAGATCATATCATAGAGTTTTATTTAAATTAGGGAAACAAGTGTTGTACTTCAATTGCTATGGCAAGTGGAACACACACTGTGATGCATAATAATAACTTACTCCATACAGGACAGCTGAATGGCCATATCTTGTAAGTGGAACTTTTTTGCTGTCCATATGAGGCGTTTCCCAAACATTACCTAAAAAAAAGATTACAATATCCATTTTGAATATAATCTTCAAGTCGAGTCCTGTAGTAATAAAACAGATTATATATTGCAATTACACAATGTGCCAATATTACCATTGAAATCATACAGGTAAATCATCTCCGCACTTTGATATGATTCTCCTGCCACTATGTACAATGAATCTTTCCAAACTATAGCACCATGTGAAGCAGAACCTTTGGGCATAAATGCTGACTGCACCACTTCCCAGTACCCACCATCCTCTCTCTGGCTGCAGTCATCTCCTACAAATAATATATTAATTACTATTGAAAAGTTAAATGATGAATATTTAATATAAAATAATTTTAAAATAAAAATCTTACCTTTGAATCCTTGTTTGCAATCACACCTATGCTTTTCGCGATTACAGGCTCCTTGACTATTGCTACAATTGTTTGGACACACTGGGATGTGGCATGCTTCTCCCATAAAAGAAGCATCGCACGTACAAATTCCATCAATACACACTCCATGTCCTGAGCAGATCTCAGAGGAATATCGACTTGGGCAAGAATTTAAACTGAAAAACAAACAGTGAGCAATTAATTTCCATATTGGTCATCAAATAAATGACCCAGCTGATTCTTGAATACTAGTGATGTTTAAAATCAGTGTGGTGTGTTTTACATCCTGTAGTTCCCAATGCATATTGTTTGTATCGATAGTTTTGTTTTTGCTTCTATTTTTATAGAGGAAATAAAAGGAAATCTTAAAGCACAAATGTGGAAACAATATTGCTTAATAAGAATAGTTTTTAAAGTGATAAATTTGTAGACATGAATAAAAATTACTTTCTAGCAAATCAGCCTGTAAATAATATTTGACCCTAATAATCATATTTTTCATACCTCACATAGACATTGACATAGAATATTTTGATGTAAATCCTATTAATAGGTATTAAAAAAAATATTTTTTTTACAATTATTGTTTCATTGTCACTATCTTTTAAGGCATGAAAAACAGATTACGAAAGAAATGAATCATTATCATCAATAATATTAAGGTTTAAATCTCTATGACCTCTACCTTTCAAACCAGTATTTCCTCAGTCAGTAAGATGTTCATAAACTTGTCATCTTGATTTACATCTTCCATGCTCTCTGTCCCTTTAATCTATGTCTTGTCACTCATCTATCTTCTACTCTAAACATGGTTTTGCCATATTTTATAACTCTTCTAATGTTTCAATTAAAAAAGGTAAAAGGTAAATAGTAAAAGAATGCAGTGATAAAAAGTTTATAAAATGAAATTTCTCATGGTTCAATACAATGGTTTAGTAAAAATGATACTTGAATTATTAGTGAATTGTGAAAAATATTCTTACATATTTAACAACAAGTACTACTACAGAAAACAACTCTTCCACAAATAGAACTTTGACTCGGGCATTGGGATCCATGAAGAATTTTTACAAAGAAACAGTGAATTAAAAATTTCCAAAGGAGAAAGTATTCAAATGTATAAAAGAAATATATGTAAGGTTTAATGAAATATATTATCATAATCTGACTACATTCCAAATCACTGTAGTTGGATCTTAGTTTGCAAATGAACACTTGCTTTTTTTTCTTTCTAGAACTGAGGAAATACCAGTAATAAATATCCTGGCATGTATAAAATACACTCTATTAGCTGGCAAACATTGTACAAAAATCAATTTACAAAACAAATGAGCCAGTGGTAAGGGCAGAACATGTCATTTAAATAAAGAGTGTAACATTTACCTTGCAACCCAATATTTAACTTCAAGGATTTGTGTAAAAATCGCATGAGTAAGTGGCTCACAGAGTACTGCCACTCATCTAAACTGATAGTGCCTATCTATCCTTGACGTGTTTTGATTTGCTTTGTATGCAGTCACCCACCAATAAATGTCTCATTACGAGAAATGTAGAGTTCTTTTAGAGTACAGAAGTTATGTTATTGATAACAGCATGTTTCACTGACTACTACATAATTTCTCTCAGCATTCTGATCAAAATACAATGGTTTTTATTTGACACAAAAATGTGTATTTTTGGATTTTAATGTTATTTTAGCATATTTCTAAAACATTGTCGAATTTTTTATGTCTCTCATTAAAAAATAATTTTATAATCACCATAAAGATGTGTTTTAGGCAATACTTTTCATATTTTAAAAACACCACACTTTTCTTCAAATAATTGTGGACTTCAAAATAATGTTGAGATTTTGATATAACTGTAGTGACTAGACAGCAGTGGTTAAGGGGTGTGTAGATATGATGTAAAATGAAAACCTTCCTTAACTTTGAAGATATGTTGTCAAGTGTCTTTCATGAGTTTTGTCAGTGTTTTTTAAAAATTTTTTAAATCATAAAATGTCCACATATTTGCTCATAGAAATCCTCTCAGCAATGCTATATACTTATTGAAATATATAAAACAAAGCTTCACAGATATCAAATGGAAATATGTGATTAAAAAAATACTGGACATAAAATGTTTTTCTTGTGTGTATAGCAAAAAAATGCAAGGAATTAGATCTTGTAAAACATTACACGAGACCAAACACAGAGAATGCATTAGATGCCACTGTATCTTGTTCCACTTGCAAAACTACAATGAGAGGAACTCTGTAAAAACAGTTTGAAATGCATATCACTGTCTGTGAACGCAAGCAATTACCTTTGTGTTTTGTCTTGCCATTTTATTATCTGAAGCAGGTTGTACAATAAACAATACAGTGCTTTTACATTGTATTTCTTGACACCATAAGACACAGAGAAATTCAAAATTTGCCTTCTATTAAACACTCTACAATATCTGCATTAACAATACGGCATGATAATAACATGTGGTATCTAAGTTTGTGAGTAAATAATCTCAAGTTATCAACTTTCATCAAAGTGATTTAGAAAGAAGAGGCAACCAATGTGTACATAATAAGAACATGGACGTCACACTTGTCAGCAAACATTACATTATCTGTGACGAACTGCTGATAAGATAAAACGGCATAATATTTATAATTCAAAACATTCTCAAGAGTGTGTACAATGATAAAAATGACTGATACTTTTCAAATTTGTCTCCCCTGAACTCTAAAATATCTAATAACATTAGCAATGATGATAAAGTACATGCTTGCAATGTAGGACGGCTTTTATTTATCATAAATGAAGATTATTACACCCTTAGGAAATTAACATATCTGCTTTTGGGAGTGGATAAGTCAAGTTATCAAACTGATTTTGGAAGAGACAGGCAACTAATATGTAATGGTCTTTGACATGCACAAGTCAGGTAAATTTATATAATCATCATCATCATCATGAACTATTGGTGTTTAGGCATAATATATAATTTATGTAGTTTTAGGCTCTTACATAATTTATGCAGTATTACTGGAAGTAAAGTCTTCCAGGTGTTCCTACTGTTGCCACTTCTTTCATGGTGTCCCAACGTCTCGTCCCTGTTCCCTGCAAGTTTATACTTCCATACTTCCTTAGTTTTGGTCATCAGTTATTGTTCATTCTTTTAAGGTGATCTTGCCATTCTCTTTGAGAGTTTTCCTCTACTAGGTCTTTAGTTTCTTCTAATACCCTTGTTTCTCAGTCTGTCCCTTCTTGTAACTCCTAGAAGGTGTTTCAGCAATCTTATAAGTGCTGCTTGCATATTTTGTTTGGCTCTCTCTTTCATTATCCATGATTCAGAGCTGTACATAGCTATTCGTTTAGCCATTATGTTGTGAATTTTTATTTTTGTTTTTGCATACATGTTTCTGCCAGTGTTGTTTAATTGTTCCACACATTCTGTAGTATTTGTACAATTTATTTTCTAAATCCTGTGTTAAATACACTTATAATATTTCCAAGATATAAACATTTGTTGACTTGTTCTACTAATTATCCATTTATTACAATTTTGGCTCTTTTCTGTTCTTTACCATGCAGAACTATAACTTTTTTTAAACAACTGATATTTTCATAGAATATTTCTGGGCTTCTTTTGTCAGTTCAAAAACGGCTCTTCGTAGATCATCTTCAGAATCTGTTATGGTTCTTTGCTCGTCAGCATATTAAGATTTTATATCTCTTTTTGTCTTTCTTGATTTGGATACCCTGTTTAATTTCCTTCCTCCAGTTTTTCACTAGGTGACTGGCATATATGTTGAAGAGAGTAAGCAACAGAACACATCCTTCTCTTAGGCCACTGCTAGTTGCTATTGTTGCAGACTTTCCAACTTTTAATGTTGGAGTTTTCATATAAACTCTGGATTATAAATACTCCAGATATTTATGTGCACAAGATAATCAGTTGCTAATCACTGATATGATACAATGTCACACTTGTCTTAAGTATGTAAACAATGATAAAGACTAACTGAAGCATTCCCAATTTGTTTTTTTCTTAGAGGTCTAAAATACAACAAAACTACTTTAAAAAAATCTTAATTTTGAATAATAACAGGGCTTAGTTTTAAAACAGAATGAAGAAAATGTTTTGCAATAAGAAATAAAGGTAATTCAAAATGAAAATCTTAATGAATAAAGATGTATAAGAGAGAGGCATTTTTAAATCCATTCCATAGTAAAAGCATTGCTAAAACCTACCGATAAGAAATGTTAAATCCCGTCATGTTGTAAGCTACATCACTATAGAAATGCAATAATGCTGACCCTGATGTGGCCACAACTTCAGGAATTCTCCGAATGTTGTACCCGTCTTTGTACATCAGACCACTGCAAAATTTTACAAAAAATATAAGTAACATGTAATTGATTAATATATTTACACATATGGGCTTCAAAAGATGAATACCTAAAGACAGCTAAGAGGGGTGAGTCTACACTATCCCCATCAAAGATGTAAAGGTGATCCCATCCACACTCGGTGGCAAATTCCTCCAAATGAAGGCGAATTGTGGTGTTAGCATGGCCACCAGCATACACCAACCAAGTGCACTTGACATCCACGGAATAATTGCCATGACCATCATGGATGTGGCCATTGGTATCAGACAACCTATAAAAAATAATGTGCTTTTAAGCAAAACAAACTTCTTACTGCTACATGAAATTCTAAAGATTATTTGATGTAATTTAATTTTTAAACTGATGCAAATTAAGAGATATATTATACGAGTACACAGACAAAGAATCCAAATATTTTTCATTTTATTAATGACAATTAAATTATTTGAAAAGTGCAATTGTAATTGTACAAATATTTTTAAAATCAGGAAATATTCAAGGAAATAATGATCATTCTGGCAAATGACCTATATTTGACAGAGTAAATGAAGGAAGCAAAAATAGAAGAAAATTTTATTGATCAGTTAATGGATAAAAAATTATTAGATTTTTCTTTATTTTGTAGGTCAATAGAAATCAGATCATTTGAAAATGGAACCTAACAATACATATGCCATTCTATCAATAATTATTTAATAATAGTTCAAATTATTATGAAAATGAGCTTAATGAACCAAACTTATTTAATAATAATAATGATGTAGAATGAAATCCTTTTGATGAAGTTATCTTTAATATAATATTTTTACCAACTATGAATCTTTAGAAACATTCAGTGAATAGAGTAAAAAAACTAATTTCTTTTAATTAAAAAATATATATCTACGAAAAACACATATACACATTACAATTGGGGGTGATAATTTTTCTCCTGGGAGTAGAAAATGTCCAGAAGAACCGATAAAAAATGCTGTAACGATTGGCTTTAAAATTATTTATAATTTGCTTGATAAGATCATCAAACTACAATGTCGACTAAGACGTACTCAGGAATGTAAAACTACATTTCAGCTAAGTTTATCACAAAAATCTGCTAAAGTTGATAAGTAGGTTCAATTAGCATTTCATTTAATCCTGAAGAGTGTCAATAAATTTTCTTTATTATACACTGAAAGCCCTACTTGCAAGGTCAAATTGGGATCGGACTACTAAGGACACAACATCTTGTTCATTAAAACACAAGTTACAGTGACATTAAGGAGTAACCTAATTCTGTACTTCGCAGACATAACCTAATTCGCGATCAGAATGGTGGGGCGTTATTGGTGAAACAGTTGGCCTTCTCAGCTCAAGACTTACGACGAGTATTGGACAAGGTCATTAGATCATGCTGACTCTGATTCTTACCTGACTTTACTCCCGCAGAATTGACAAGACGGTCCCTGCCACCCATCAAAACAAACACAGCCTGTCCCATTCACACATTCTCCGTTTACACACTGGACACCCGAACAGTTCGCACTATACACTAAATTAAATATATGTGAATAAACTACAACAGAAAACCACAATTCATGCCAGAAATGACATTTTCGCCGATATTTTGACTTAAACAGGAATAAAAACATCTGCAGGTCTGCTGCCATCTTGTATTAACCATTTCTGCGACAGTCCATGACGTTACGTACCCAGAATGCACCATCCCTCTAGTTTATTTTGCTGTCAACATTCCCGTTATATTTTTTAATTCATCAAAGAAAATCAAACAATCGATTTATTACAATAATACGCCCATTAATGGATATTTCGTTGTGTAAAATCTAGCTGGTATAGAAACAAATTTCAAGGTTCATGATGACCGCACACCATATGTTTTGTGGTCATCGACCTTAAACCTGTCAAATGCATGAAGAGAAGCACGTCGCGTTTTGTCGTCCTCAATTGTACATTTCGTAGATAAAATATGAATATGTAATTTAAATAATTTTATTCTGCGACGATTTCATTCGTTTTTGTATACTATAAGTATAAGTCTATTACAAATTATTAAGACGTTAATTATTTGATGAACTTTTCATTGACAAATTCTTATTAAGTCCTGTCATCACATAGACCAATAACGCATACATTCACATATTACTCTACATTGTGTTTCTGGATAACTTCGTGCTTCACGCCTAAATTTATCGCACTCTTGACCTGACCTTGTTGGTAACCCTGGAAGAGCCGCTAGATATGACCTTATTTTCGACTTCGTGCATTTGATTTTAAATGTATTACGTAAAATTTTTATTTTCTGATCTCACAAAAGGAAGTTTTCTAAGCATCTTTGTAAAAAGGCCATATTTGGTTGATTTGTCAGTTACAACAAATACAATACATATGCACAATAAGAAATGACAAAGTACATTAAATCCCCATGTAAAGGATGAACACTCGCGTATGTATGCAGCTCTGTGTTTTACGAATGTATACATTCCCATCCAAGATAGTAATATTCTGGACAAATACACACCTTATAGAATCAAGACTGTTGAGATTGCCGGGGAAAATGTACGATTGATTGATTATTTCGTGATGAAGGGCGCGACTACGGCTAATAGTAATTAATCCCGGAAGCGTAGTGTTTGTCCAGGGGGTTGGCGATGTTCACTGATAGAACGTGACCTCGGCTTGCGGGGGTTCGCCTCTCCAGTTATTTCTGCCAGCGGGGCACCGCCCCATCCGGGACAAGTTCTAAGCTCCTGACATGTGCGGAAGTGTAGCACATGTAAGTGTGTGTGTATAAGGGCATGTTAGGGTAAGAAAAGAAGCGGGGACAAGAATGGGGAAGGAGAGACCGTATACGGTCCGTGGCCCTTTTACGAAGGTGCTGCGCCAGCATTTGCCTCGTATTGATCGGAGAAACCACGGCTTAGAGAAGCCGGCCGCCAGAATTCTTCTCCAGACATTGGCTGAATTCGACCTAGAGGTAAGTTAAACTGCTAGTGTAGAAAAATCGATACCGCCGGGACTCGAATCCTATAACATCCCGGACAGAGACATTTCAGTGACAACAGTTGTTGCCCTATACCATATCTGTTCGTAAAAATGTGTAAATAATAAGCAATACTCGTGTTACCATTATGTGATTCTTGTAAACTTCTCTTCACTGAGTTTGAAATGCTGATATTGCCTTGCCTATTCATTTACAAATCAGTTTTTGTCAAATCTGACTTTCTTAAGGCCGAGTTGTTTATGCCTTTATTTTATGAAAATTGTCCAAAGGCGTACGCATGGGTGGGGGGCGTTCCTTATTTTCTTTTTTAAGCTGACAATTTGTGGATTAATTCACATTTGGGGAAGAGGCTTTTCAAACCGTCTGGCAAGTACTGGCCGTAAAAGAATTTACATAAAATCAATAATGTTTATTAACTGTTTCAATTATAAATTCCAGTTTCTTTATGTTACTTATTAGTATTTCCTGATATAATACGACGTACTTAAATAAAACAATATAATGGAAAAAGCGACCCAAGGCCAAAAAGGAGCCCAAAAATGCAGTTGGCCCGCTTGTTTTATCCTCCACACCTCTATGAAATAGGTACATAGTTTAATATACTAAGGTCAATTTTTTTTGCTGTAGAACTGTGTGTACATAATTTAAGACTATTCTGACAATTAAAACTATCATGATAATTATTTTTATAATGTTATTTATCCAATAATTACTATTACTTTTACTTTTTGCATATTTCTACTGTACGGTCCTAAACTACCAACTACAATACATAGTATACATCCCTGAAATACCATCAAAGCGTATTTAAGTAACTGCGAGTGTGCGTATCTATCATTGACGGTAATTCCGCTTCCCGTGCACCAATCGAGACATATGAGTATGAGGTGTCATTTCGACGCGACTCGATCTTCAGGTGGGGAACTGATAATTTGTTTTCAGATCAAACCTGAATATTCTAAGAAATTTCCAAAAACGTGTTTTTGCGTGATTTAGTGTCGTGATCTTAGTGAGTGTGCCGGGAATTAAATTAACGCCACCCAAATAAATCTAGTATGTAGAGACACCAACACTGATCGATGTCATTTCCACGCGACAAGTGAATCACGCCGCGGGTTTCATTTCATTTCATTTCCGTATTGTCGTATTAAAAAAAATGTGCAAAAATGTTCGAACAGAATAGGTTTTTAACTTATTAAACTTGAACTTAAATTACGAACAAAACCAAACCGAAGACTACTACAGAAGCACAGTTACGTTCTTGTGTTCGACTTTTCACATTTACTTTCTTAAGCGCGCATATACCGATTTTCAAATGAATAACAACTTATTCTTATTAAACTTAACTAATACCTTATTCATACAAATATTCAAAATAGTCGCCTTTTAATGTTTATGTAGATTCGCCTTCAAAACGATAAATAGAGCAATTGCAGAAGTAGAAGTGAACACAATTAGACTGACTTGGTGAAGTTTTAATTGTGGAGCAAATCCGAGAAAGAATCAAACGTAACTGTGGAAGATTTTGCGACAGAATGTTCGGAATTAATTGAGAGTGAGAATTACGTAGAGAATAACGCTCTAAAGCGGTGATTTTTACGTGCATTTTTGGGCATATTAGCAAAAAGAATGTAGGTCCACTAAATTCCAACTATTTAGCTTCATTCATATCTGCAAGTATTTTTTAGGCGTTTACAATTTTGAAATCAAAGTATTACCAGGTCATATCATATCCTCTATGGAGGTAACATACAAGGCCAATGGATGTTGAGAATTTTTGAACTGGATTAATCCACTATCAGCTAATTTATTGGCATCTCCAATGCCAGAGACCGTAAGAACTTATTCGAACAAAGCTAAGCATGACAAATTTTCAACCCTTGAAAATACTTTAAACCAATTTACAGCGTCGGCAACAACACATTCAACTAGTAACAGATATTTACGTCAACTTCTGAGTCAATGACTCTCATATTGATCAAGACTTTCGTCCAATTTCCATTAATACTTTCATCAAAAGCTTCCAAGTTTATTTTCTGAACATAAATACAGCTTCACTATCTTTTGTTGAGTGTTTTGTTGAGCTCTCTTTTTACGATAGGAGTAGAGCCGTGTGTTCAGTGGCGTAGCGCAGTGGGGGCGGCAGGAGAGGCACTTTTAAGGGGCGGCAAAATTTCACAATTAATAATAATAATAATAATAATAATAATAATAATAATAATAATAATAATCTTGTAAATATTTGAACCATTTCATTTCATATTTTTGTCGCATCTGTAATTCGAACCAATTGAAATGAGCACGAAATCTTTCATTACTTATTCTGTGATGACTCATTTAAATTAATGTACAATAATTCATCTTGCTTATTGTAGTGACTGGCAAAACCGTCTGTACTGACTTGTAGGGATTACTCGTATTTTATTTTGTGCTTGGATGTTTATGACTAGGGTGCGGATTTCTATGATTTTGCATATACAATGGCTCACGTTAATATTCAGACAGCCACAAATACAGAAGGCGTTTCTTGTTTGGCTGTAATTTTTCGCACGTGCGCGGAAGTTACATGTGAGGAAATGCATAGATGTATCTATATTAATAGGAAACAGCATACTAGAAAGAAAACATTTCTGATGCATAACAAACGTTTCATAAACAGGGATTTATGTGTGAATATGCGAAAATACGAAGTCACATTAATATTCGGAAATGTAATAGAAATGTCCAGTTAACCCTTCGCCACTCTTTCAGATAGCGCGAAAAGCGCACCATCGCCTACCCCGGTCAAACGAAACTATGCAGACAGTCGCTGTAAACATTTCCGCCTGGAAACACCTTTTGCAATGGGGCGCAAGTGAAAGAACTCGACGTTCGAGCAGAGGCAGCTTGAGGCTTTCCACCACGCAAAGGGACGCTCCTGCAGAGCGATCACAATCTTGAGCACGGTGCACGATATCATTATGAGATTTGAGAAAGAAGACAATTGAATCTAAACCGCAACAAGAACAACGTAAAAAGATCCGCGAAAGAGAGCAGCGTGCAATTTTGAGGAAAATACGAGAAAAACCGAAGGTGAGTGCCGTTGAGCTGGCAGCGGAACTGTGCCAAGCGTCAGGGACATTGTGCACCCCGAAACAGCGCGCAGAGTAATTAGAAGGTCCTCAAGATAATAAGCGCGTCACGTCAGCTCTACACTACCAACCTCCCAGCTAAACTCTACAATCCAGAGGCTTAAAAAAGTTGAATCTACATGTGAAATTTTCAAAAATTCATGGATTTTAATTTACAATATTTTAAGATCTAGTTTTAAAAACAGATTTTATTAAAGAAAAATTTTTAATATCAAAATTATGGTTTTACAATGTTAATTTTTTGTTTGCAATATTTGAAAATACAGAGTTTGTTGAAAATGGGTCCTATGCAATTGTTAAGCGTCGTTTGCACAAACCGAGGAAAAAATTTGGAATTTTTTGACGATATTTTTATAAATTGCATTAACTTAAAGTAGAAATTTCGCGAAAACTATTTGTTGTTTCAAAGAATTGTAAATTATATTCTTTAAAGAATTTTTTTAGAATAAGTTTCTTTTGAACAAAATCTCTTGTCAATATTTGTAATGTTAAAGTTTTGGAATTTCCGAAGAAAGAGTTCGCCGAATAGAGACATGTGTAATTTTATTAAGCATTTAATATTCTACCTGAAGAAAAAATAAAGAAAAAATCCATTTTGAGAAAATAATAATTTAAA